TTATTGTATCTAAATATAATAAGTTTCATTTTATTTCCCATTTTGGAAGAATTTAGTTTAATTCAATCAAATGCTTTTTCTCAAAAAAAAAAATATCAGAAACTTATTTCTTCTATTGCCTGTTACTTATTTTGTTACTTTTATCTCAAAAATAATAATTACAATAATACAATTCGCTTAGCAAGACTCACTCAATAGCTATTGATATTAAAGTTTCGACTCAGGATTCAATGAGGAGATCGAGGTTCAAAAAAACACCATAACATAATAATTAGTGTACATTTATTCCAGTGTAAGAGCTACACCCCAGAGGGCGCGTCGGCTACAGATACAATAAAATCTCTAATACAAATAATGTTAACAAATAATATTTTAGTCCAAAAATCAAACCGATTCGATTAATAACTAAGAAAAATGAAACATTAGTTAAAATTCATTTGGTTTTTGTTATACTGCGATTATTCATACATATCTTAATTAACTAATCTTCTAATATAAAATATCTTTGCCTTTGGAAAAGATGTTAATAAAATCCTGAGCGTTTCAAACTTGACTCATTTAGCAAAGATAATTTATATTAGCGTTTCTACGCACAGTTTATAACATAGACAGCTACAGATACAAAAAGATACACAAGTTACGTCTAAATACGACTATTGAGAGTAAACAAGTGTTACTTACAGTTATGTTATCATATAATGTATAATATCTTATACAATGTGTATAGTGTTATAAATATATACCGTACTTTCTAGACTTTAGTTTTACTGTTTAGACGAAGTCGATTAGAGTTTATTTGAGTCTGATTATAAAGTTTTGAAAGAGTCAAAGTTGAATTTTGACGTAAAATCTTAAAAGTACGGTATTGTAATTTTTCTTAGAAATAATATAATCGAGCCCTTTATATAGGAAATTACTAAAAATATTTTTTCCCAAAAAAAAAATATACATAAATTGTAAATATAATATTGATTCTATAATAAATGCGTATATTCATATCAAATTTCGTATAACAAGGGTTCATAAAAATTACATGAAATCCATATAATATATATTTTATTATTATATTCATATGTTTTTTGCATGGAAATTTTAAAAATAGCGGCCTCTTGGGCGAGTATGTTGATAAATGCATGTTACATGTACATGTTATAGTTCGGTAACTATGTACATATATGCATAGTCTGACAAAGTGTTCAGGACTTTTACGTACAAAATGAAAAATATTCTAACACGCTCGTAGAGCTTCAATATTATATTTTGTAGCGATGTGTCTGTTTGTCAAATCATCACATCATAACCAAACAGGACTATAGTCCTGTAATATTATAAGATGTTCTGCGCAAAATATTAGCCCAAAGTTAAAAAATTTGGACTTGATTTGCATTTTCATTAATTTTTCTCATAATTTCGATGCAAAAAAGGCTGAATAGTTTATGTATATAATATAATCTAAGTATATAATAGTAGATCTATCAGAATTGGTGTTTCTATACCTTCAGTGGACGTATCGCTTGCGCGGGCATCGCTACATTAAGGTTATATAAAAAATAAAACTTTTAAAAATAAATAGAGCTGCGTTTAAGGCACCTTCTGAACTTATATTATCTGCGCGACGCTCACGTCGGTTTCATCATCACTACAACGCTACAAAAAATATAAAAAATATTTTTTATATGTACTTAATGAAAAAAAACATACGTGCTATTAGTAGATTCAAGCGATTCCATAAGCTTTTCACGTAATTGCTGATTAACCTATTCGGCAGTAACAATTAAAGACATAGATTACAATTACAATATATTATATCATTTTTCTTAATAAAATTTAATTTCTTAAAAAATAAGTGCACACGAATAGCTACAAAAGCCATAGTCCGGTCAACCGAACTAGATGTATCTTCCGAATAGATTCAAAAACCGACCTAGATTTAGAAATCGAACTAGATTCAAAAGCCAATCTAAATTGATTCGGTTAACCGAACAAGAAAATAGCTCAACGCTTATGAAACCTCTGCAATAACACTATTAGTCCATTGAAATGTTACATTTTTTTAGGCTTAGCGTGCATTTGTCAGAGGATGCAATTTTATTTTTTGGATATCAAGGAGGGGTTAGTGTAAAGTTAAATCCAAGTTTGTGGGGTTGCAGTCCTTGTTCCACAGCCGCCATCTTGGAAAATAGGGGTGCAAATAGTTTTTATGGTTTATCTGACAAACTATAGGTGTCACAAAAAGATTGTTGAGCCATTTAACCAGCCCAAATGTAACTTTTCAATGGACTATATATTAGATACAAATTAGTGAATAAGAAAATCTAGTTAGTATATTAATTTGGAATAAAACGACATTGCACCAAACACTACAATAATAATATCTATATTTTTATATGTACACTTATATCTGTCTATGGCACTTAACATTTCGAGCCTATGTTACTTTTTTTCATATCTCATACAGATAAATAAAACAGAATCTGGAATTCATTTTTAATTTTCGAATGACTTTGAATCAAAGATCTAACTAAAGTACACACTCCATTTTAAATATTTCAATAAAATTGTGTCTCGAACTTTAATGGTTTTTGAGGTAGAGTAATTTGAAAATTAGTAGCCCGAAGTATATACATATAAATTTGTTTTATTTTTAAATGTCTCCATAAAATTTGATGGTAAAGGCACTGATCGATTTCATGGCACACGTGGCTTTAGGCACATAATACATTTTAGAAAAAAAGTTGTAATAATTTGTCAGCACCACAAAAATTGCATTATTATAAAATTCGTCAAAAACATTTGTTAATTTGTATATATTTTTTTTAAATTCATTTCTAGATTTAGAAAGGCATCGACTATGAGGTCCCCGAGGGGATAGCACTTTGTGAATTCAATATAGGCCGAGAGCTAGTTTATATTTTTTAGGCCTTCACGAAATAAAATTTGCAATATGTAATATAAAACAGAATTCGTCTCGAATCTCATCAGACCAATGAAGAAGCCTAAGGAATAAATTGTCTGGAAATTCCGAAACACTTAAGCTCCCGGCCTTAAAGTAAATTTTGGAAAACATTACAATAATTTCAATAAATAAACTTTCTCAAACTTTCAACCTAAGGCTTCTCAGGCACCGCATTCCTTTAAACTAAGAGCACCGACAATCTTAAACCTACCTCTATACTACTTTAGCCATTTTAATGTTTAATTTAAATTAAAAAAAAAAACTTTGACAGAATCCTAGCCGAGTTGATCCAAACGAAAAGTACATATCAACAACACTGGTGTAAAATCTGTTTGCACATATTAAAATATGTGTAAAATAATAATAAAAAAATAGATCTTTAGCCAAAAAAATAAACAAAAAATAATGCTGCAAATATAATCCTAAACCAGTTTTGATACAGACATTCAACGTGCAAAATCCATTCCGAGCAAAAGTTGTTGATAAAGACAAGCTCACACGACATTCAGTAGGCAAACCTTTAGAAATTCCCAAATTTCTTGGTGACGGTGGAGCTGGTCTCCGACTTGTGCGAGCTGGTCATCACCGACTTCCTCTCGATAGTTTCGGACGTGATCGTCTGCTTCGAGAACTTCTTGTCCAAGCTATCAATTTCCTTCACCAGATCGGACGGCTTCTTCATCTGCGTCACGCCAGATGTCGCTTGGTAGTCCTGAAACTCTGAAGGTCTCATGAACGAGCGACTCGTGTCCGAGCTCATTTTTGATTCCAACGTATTGAATCGAGAATCCAAAGTGCTGTATCGAGAATCGTTGTCGAATTTCGATAGCTCATCGATCCCCTCGAGCTTGATCGGTTCGTATTTCGTGTTTGTACTCATCAAGTTGACGGGGGAGGAACTGTATATTTTTGTTGTCGTTATCTTCTGAGTGCCGTTGGGTATTTCTTTTACTTCGGTCGTGGTTTCCTCAAAGAAATTCGGTCCGCCGTAGCTATGGACGTCTTTGCCATAGGGGGACGAAATTCTATCGTAATCTGGCGTGGGAGCTTTGACCATGTCCATACTTTTCAAATCAGCGTAATCGGTTTTGTCGAATTTCGAAGGAGTCGATGTGGCGAATGGAGATTTCACTTCTTGACGGGTTTCGGTTTTGAAGAACTCTGTTTTAGGGAAACTTTGAAACGATTCGCTCTTGACCGAATATTCTGAATGCTTGGTGCCGCCGGGTATCGCCTCTGTGGACTTTTGGTGTTCAGAGAAGCTCTGGCCAACACCGTCGAAAGAGGAAGTCGGTTTTTTCAAAGTAGAATATATCGGTTCTGGTTTATCATCAAATTTCAGTTCCCGCGCGTTAAATTTAGGACTCATAGGCGGTGCTTTGGGAGCGTCGTAGTACTTCTGGTCTTTAGAGAAATATTGGTTGGAAGATGACTCGAAATGTCTCTGTTCGTCTGTTTTGGAGTAATATTCGTTGACGGGACGCGGCGTGTCGTATAGGCGGGTCTCATAACTGAAATACCAAAACTGTTGATTATTTTTGTTAGCAGACCACCGGTGCCCACCCATCATGGACCACCATCACCCATGCCATGCGAAAGTTAATCACAAATGATTATTAGAATGTGAGTAGAAAACCCTTGATTGTCGTCTTAATAACAAACAAAACAAAAATTGAATTATTTTACCGGTTTTAGCTGTGACATATGTATATGACATATAAATTTCAACTTTGTATAAAAGTAAAATTTTATGCACCCACAAAGACTACCAGATATCTATATTGTAAACAAAAGACAAATGTTGCCCTATAAAAACTAAAATTGTAATGTACAAAAATTGTGAATGTCTTACAGAACAAATGTATACTATTATTTATGACTTCAATTCAAATGAAACGAACCATCCAATACCAAAAACCCCCAAATGTGTAACACCCATAAAAATTTACTCCCCCCCCCCAAAAGTTAAAAAAAAAAAATCGAATGAAAGGTACAAACATGAACCCCCTACCCCTGTGCGTATATAAAAGAACGAACCCATTCACTCGGCCTTGCGCAGCGAGGCGCGCCGGGGGGGCGTGGGCGGAGGCGCCCGCGCGCGCCGGTAGTATATCCTCTCCCCCCTCTCCTCCCTCACCTCCCGCACCTCCCCATCTACCAACAACGCGGTGCGCACTTCCGGCAGTTGCAACGTTTTGACGACAACCGTTTCCTCGCTCATGCTTGTCCTATGTTATTACACCGCATGCAGTTAGGGAAACAAAATATCTAGTTAGTCGCTACGGCGTCTACTTAACATGTAATTAGACATGGTTTTAGTGATTTATTAGTTTAATCTATAATTTATCAATAAATAAAAAAAAAATAAAATTTTGAATCTACTACCCTGTTAGAAGTTAGGGGTAAAAAAGAATATGATATTATTTAAAATGACACACGTACGTATGTCTAATTACATGTGCATTAATATAATTAATAACTAGATCAAAAATTAGATAAAAAGCTTTAAAACCTACTTCAGTTTAGTCTATTAACTTACATAGAACTACATCAAAAAAGGTGTAGTCAAGCGACAAATAATAGGCTAGAATAAAAGGAAATATTAAGGGGGGAAATATAAAAAATACAGACTACAAAAATATGTACAGAACGATGTGCTTTATATAAAATATAAATAACGCGTCAAGCGAGTATATAAACACGACAAGTCAAAAACAAAGTAACATGAATGGGAAGCTTTATTTAAAGCACATTTCGACGACGACTTACTTATGTTCCATCGTTCTGTCATGGGCGGTTTTATCTCTGTAAGTGAAATTGTCGTATCAACTTCAATGTTGGCTCTACACTTTGGGCCAATGTTGCCAAACGTGGACTGTAAATGGGGATTTCACTTTTAAACCATAGGTAAATTTTTATATTGGCCCAACGTGTGTAGCGCAGTAGTTGATAAAAAACAGTTGGACAGAAGAAACTATTTTCAAACGAAATTTTACAGAAGATTTTCTGCAGATTTTCAGTAAAAAAAGGAAAAAAATCCCAAATCTAAGAAAATGTTTAAATAATTGCCAAGTTACCTTTTTTACCAAAAATCTGTTATACACAATAGTCAGAAAGTATCCAGATAACTAGAGTAAATGTCTGGTCCGTACAGATTTGATGTAAGCTCATGCGTTGAGACTGTCACACAAAAAATACCATAAAACCTTATAAAAATTGACATACCATTTAAATTATGGCATTTTTTAAAAATATATATTTTTTTAATAATAAATGACAATTACATTCAATTAGTTCAGCACAACAATTTTTAATTTCGACAATTCTAAAATAAAATTCATAAGACATTTTATTGGTTGATTTTTTTTTCTTAAACAGATTATAAAAGCTTATACATAAACTTATTCTAAGGCACGTATGAGTCTGAAGGCACTTTTTACAGGCGATGTTACCGACTATAGTCCAGCAGCGTGGAAGAGAAGCGTTATATTAGATATTATGTTATGTTGTTATGTGAAATGTTTTATTTAATCTATAGTCAAAGTTTATATTTTTAAATATGATTCATGCTTCATACAATGAAGTGAGCAATTTAAAATTTCTTTTAATCAAAAATAATATGAGAATATGAATTAAATAATTAATTAAGAAAATTGAAAAATTGTCATAGTGACTTTAAATAGACGACTCACCGTGTTGTAAATCCTTCATAATTTTGTTTCTGCTCTTCTTGCGGTCTGAAGCTTGAGAAGGATGGGCTTTGTGGTTTATCTTGAAAGCCATTTTGTCCGTACGATGGAGATTTGGGCGTTTGCGGTGCTTGACTGAACGTTGGGGTGGTCGGTGTGTTTGTCTGTGCGTGTGAGGGCGACGTGGGCGTGCCGTGTATGGACTGGCTTAGGTTGGCCACGTGCTGGCTTATGTTGGTTGTGTGTTGGCTCATGTTGGTTGTGTTGTGTGTTGTGTTTTGTGTTGTGTACGTGCTGTTCGGACTGTAGGTTGTGTTCGCGAAACTGCTGTTCGGAGTTTTGAATCTGGAAAAGAATTTGATTTAGTAGGAATAATTTTCCTACGTAAGTTTCCAAAAAATAAATAAAAAAAAACAATATTAATCTACTTTACACGAAATACTAATATGCTCCTAACTGATTAACTTCGGCCACGACGGTCATTGAATGGCATTATTCTCATCAGTGTACAAATATTTGCGTAAGCACAACATTCATCGACACTTATACAAGTTAACAATCACCACATTCGATTTTATCGCGGGTTTATTTTGATTTTGATTCCCGACGTTTCGAATGCTTTACAGCAATCACGGTCACGGGAGAGACTAAGGTTGTAAACGTCTCAATATTTGTTATTATTATATAATTATTATTACGAAGAAAGTGTCAACAAGAACAGCCACCTGTGGGCGTGGGAGTGGGACGCGTCGCTGGAGTAGCCGGGCGGGTCCGTGTCGGTCTCGTCGCCGCTCGCGCCTGACGCGTCGCGCAGTTTGTACTTCGCCTGGCGGATAGCGGTGAGGCGGCCGCGGGCCTCCTCGAGCTCCTTCTCTATGCGGAGAACTTCGGATCTGGTGACACATACATACATGTATGCATTTATTTGAGACAATAATATAGTCTTTATTGATGGTCGGTCTTACGAGTATGTTGAAGGTAGGCGTCGCGTCAATGTGATGATCACGATGACCATATGTGAAGTTAAAGTTCAAGACATGCTTGCAGGTGAAAAATTCTTTCAGATATAATGGATACGCAAACCACTTTATTATTAAAAAAAATGAATACTTTTAAAGTAAAAGAGATACATTTACAGATATAAAACTCTCTGCTATTCCCATGAGACTAATGGTCGATTTCACCAACGTCACCAAAGTTTAAGGGATCCCCTAAGCATGGTTACGGGGCTGTTTTAGGGGACAGTTTCTGTTTCACTGACAGTTAGGGGCCACCTGAATATAGGTACTAGAAATACGGGCTCTGACGATAATAAAACGAAATTTAATTTAGGGGCTAGTTCAGGGGAACTTTTAAGCTAGGGATCCCACACGTAGGTGGTAGCTTATGGGATGTTGGTGAAATCGGGCATAAGCCTCATTTAAATTCAATCAACATTTATCCACAATAAGACACGCAGCTGTTCTGACGAGGGGCGATGGGGGACATCCGTCAATGGGGGGAGGTGGGGATGGTGGTGGTGTGTACCTGGCGTCGATCTCCTGCGCGATGCCGCCCACCATGCGGCGGTCGAGTACGAGGCTGCGCTCGTCGTCGCAGACAATGGCGTCGCGTGCGGCGCGCACCAGGTTGTCGGTGGAGCGGATGACGCCCGCACCCGCCGCCTGCAGCCGCCGTGTAGACTCCGACGCCGGGTCCGCCTTCACCTGCCACCATAGAATTTAAATTAAATTATACTTTCTTATATTTAGGCGAATTTTAAATTAATCTATCTTTTCGGATTTAGTAGCGGTTTGATTTTTTATTTTCGTTTAACGTCCAAAAATAAAGTTTCCTTTAAATTAAATATTTTGTATGAGAACTGAGAAGGCAGTCAGAAAATCGACATTTTTTTTTATAATATTATTGTTTACAATACTGAAATATAACAACTACATTCTTATCCTATATCACCGTCAACCAACAATCTGGCCGGTCTCAGTGAGATTGGCCGCGGTGGCCACTGGTTTGGTGGTTGGCTCACTGAGAGCAGCCAACTGTAGGAAATATTATATCTCGGACACAACGTGCACTCTCTGTTCCTGTCACTCTCAAAGTCCGGTGGGACGATACTTCACACGACCGGTGAGAGATCATGTCGGACCAACACGACACGTGTTCTCCGAGGCACAGGGGTGTAACATCGCAAACATTCCAACTCTGGACTAGTACTGAGAAAATATTAACAGAAAAAGTCAGTTACTAAGCTTGTCCCGACCCGGGACTCGAGCCCAGTACCTCCGGACTAAACCACTCACCTTGCAGGCGACAAGCAGCTGCGCGGTGGAGGAGGCCACCTGGCGAGCGGAGGAGATGAGGCGCTCCTCGGAGGCGGCACCCTGCACCAGCGCGTTGGCGGCCTCCACGAGCGCGTGCGCCGCCGCCGCCACCAGGCGCGCCGCCGACACCAGCCCCTCCGACCACTGCCCGTCGTCCGACGACTGCGCGGGCCGACGCGCCACCGCCCCCTACACACCACACACACAATCGTATGAGTGAATTATTTAAATATATGTACGCGTAAAAGTATTAGAGGCATTGGAACGTAGTGTCGTTTTTTTTACAATTAACTAAAACATAAAAATTTATAACAAGTTTTCATTTTTAATCAGTGATTTAAAGACCTACGATTTTGTGACGTCATCGTTTCGACAATTAATTATTTTTTTAAATTAAATATCGAAAAATAAAGGAAGACAAAAAATATTACGTAACACTCTTTTCTCTTTATTCTATGCTAAGACGATTTTAAAATTATCTAAATTAAAGCCAAAACCATGTCTTGGTCCTCGACAAGTAATTGTACACAAGTGTATTTTCATATGAATTAAAGACAAAAAGACCTTTCCCTTATATCAAACAACCTCCACGTTTATTTTCTCACATGAGAAACCACAGATAAAATATTACCTGATCGATCAGCTCCCTTTGCGCGGCGGACGCGGCCCTCACTAGCGCCGAGGTGGCCGCTATGATGGACTTGGCTGCTTCCAGGATCATCTCATCAAAGTTCATGTTGTCGTCTGTCTCCTGGTTGGAAAAAAATAAAAATTTTAATTGGAAAATTGTATTTTTTTTGAAACTATAACAAATATATAAGATTGGCCTTTTCGAAAGGATATTTAAAAAGAAATTTTAGGAAGGACTAAATTTTAATTCAAGCTATTAAACTAGTCCAAGTATTCCGATAATTTCTATCATAAATACATACAAAAATAACATATAAAGGAAAAAGTACGAAAAAAATGTGCTCCCAAAATGATTATTAGAATAAAATTAAAATCTATATATTTTCACATAAAGAGGCTATTAGATATAAAAAAAAATTATAATAGTTGGTATATTTTTTTAGAACCAATTCTTAAAAGAAAAGATACAAAAGTCACTATTTAAGACTTCATTTCGAAGAAAAGAACAAAATGTATTTTTTTATATAATTTTATGAATTATGACAGTTGTTCTTGGGCCGACGAATGCGCCGCGATCGGTAGGTAATATGTTTGATTCCTGGTTGATACGAAAACAACCAAGAATATCAAACATATCTTACCGACGCGCGGCATCTTCAGTAATCTTCTCTCTTCTGCGATCTTCTTAGTACAGTTTTCAGCATCCTCCATAAGTTTTAACGAAGTATAACTACTTAAATATACCATTTCACTTTTACTTAACAATATGAACAAAGTTAATTTTAGCAACTTTATCAACAAAGTTGTTTTATTTGTTTAGCAGACTCACGACAAGACGGTGCTCGTCATCACAATATTAATAGGTACTTACTTTTAATTTAAAAGTTGAAAGTCTAAGACATTTAATTTTTTAATTTTTAAAGCTTTTTTGTGTCGGGGGTTACTTAAAATAATTAATTTATTTTTATTCAATTTATCAATTTAATATCGGTATAAACATTACAATCATTGAGTTAATTTTCACGTTCAGAAACTTTATAAAATTCGTGTATACATTATGTACGTATGTGTGTGCGTGCGTGCGTGTATACTCACAGTGCGCGGCGCGGCGCGCGGACGCAACGCGTCGAGCTTGCGCGCGGCGGCGTCGATGGAGGCGGCGGCGCCCAGCAGCTCCTGCTCCGCGATCACCGTGGGGTCCGCCGGGTCCACCCACTCCGAGCCTGCAGACGAAGTGACGAGATGAGACGACAGATAAATAATCTCCTCTTTATTATAAATGCGAATGTTTGTGTGAAAGTTTGTTTTTTTTTACTACTTGATGCTGATGGTGGACAGATTTGCGTGTAATTTAGTACGTAGATAGAAAACATAGGCTATTGCAAACAGAATTTACACCTAAATGGGGAAAACGCTAGTTACTCATAACTTGACTGAAATTAATTTATCTAAACATTCACAAAACTTTCGACAAAACAAAACATTACCTGACTTAGAGAAACGACATTTAAAGTTTATTCATCACATAATTTTTACTATTTTTCTTTGAAAATATAATATCTGTTATTAAGGAAATTAGAAGTATACTCTCTTTACATACATACAAGTAAGAACAAAAGCACTCTGTACGTACCCTTGAGCAGGTCGGCGGCGGCCAGCATGTCGGCCACGGCGCGCGCCACGTGGCGTGACAGCTCGGGCAGCTGCGCACGGGCCGAGCCCAGCAGCGCGCCCAGTAGAGCACGGTACGCTTGTGCGGCCGCTCGCGTCGCTTCCAGCGTGCGCGTGCGCAGCTCCGCTGTCTCCGCGGCGTGCGCGGCGCCCTACACACGTTACACCAGTCAAACTTAGTTATGGTCCTACGAGCCGGATATGGATTTATTATCTGTATTTCTACCTTACCTATGTATTATCATTTTATGCAAATGATACAGCACCGACCGTTACAACACACGACAGACATCGACAGTTAACTCATATAATGTTGCATCTGTGCAATATATACAATTTAAAACTGTTATTTGTAAATTAATATTTCTAAAGAAAAAAAAATGTTTAAAGAAAAAGAGTATAATTATACTACCATTTTTGGTACTAAGCACTAAATTAAACTTTTAAATAAAGAACCAATAATAATTTTAATATCGATTTTCAATTTGAAAAAACCTACACCCTCAACGATAAATGAGACATGTGTTTGTACCTTGGCGGCGGCCAGCATGTCGAGCACGGTTCGGCGGCCGAGGTTGGCGGCGGCCACCAGCTGGTCCTGGCCGGCGGCGGCAACGGCACGCGCCGTGGCCGCCGTCATGAGTCGCGTGCACCGCACCAGCTCCTCCACCGAGGCTGTGCTCTTTGGTGGCGTTGGGGACATCAGCACCTGGTGTAAGTCAGTGACTAAGTTTCAAATTATGTTGTTATGTGTATGTATGACGTATGTTAACAAGCATCTATTATAAAATACATAATATGTTTATGTCTGACTGCACAATATTATGTTCCTTCGTCAACTTATTCTCATCTTTTTGGTTCGCTTTTTACGCAGTCTTTTTTTAAAGAGATGATTATTTTCATGAAACTTATTCAGCATTTTTTTTACTGAATGTCATGAGCCTATCACCAGTTCGGAAAGAACCAGACCACCGCGTCCAGATGAACTAATTGTAAGATCGTTAATAATTTTGAAAACCAACGAGACAAAGTTTACGAGTATGTTGAATCATTTCCATTGAATTTATTTTCTGATATGAGCTTAATTGCTAGAATGTTACCAGTCTAGAGATAAATGTGAAGATTTACATGTTCTTTTTCAATCATTAATATAAATTGATCAAATATGTTCAAAACACTAAAAGTAGTGAGTGGTGGGACAATAAGTGGTAACTTAAAAGTATGAAAACTTAATACTTCTAGAAAATTCTTTCTACCCAATTATAAGATAGAACGTACCTCAATTTCCTGTGATATAGCCTCAATTGTAGACTCCAGGGCTCTGTTGCCGCGCGTGTGTTCGTCTTCCACGGCCTTCACTGTTTTGAGTAGCGACGTCACGTTTGTCACCATTACCTATAATATTATTACTGTTTTAATTTTAAATTTAGGGAAGAGATAATTGAATATTGTTCATTTCAAAGCTAAATGAATTATTTTTTAATTATTTTGACAAAACAGGTAACAAAATACATGTGACAAATTTAAATAAACAAAAGCTTTGGGTTGCCAACTAAGTTAGGGCAGACGATGAACAAAAAACAACATTATTAAAAAAAAGACACCCAGTGCGACAAAGCTCATGCCATAGCGGGAAACCCATAAGCTTTCAACCATAGATACATAGATATATATATATAAAGCACGTCATGTACGTCAATATTGGACTTCCAAGCTCCGCTGTGAACCACCTCTTTCGAAGTCGGTTAAATGAAAGCTTTTGGCTTTGTTATACACTCGATGGTTGTACCATGAAATGAATGAAGGCTGAAATGTGTTTAGGGGTGGGGAGGTTTATTATGTCAATATTTTGTCTATGGAAATATTTTATTTGCAATTAAAAGCTTTTTATTATACAAAAGTACTCAAAGATAACTTAAAATTATGTATTAGTTTGAAAAATATACTAAATATGGATATTATTTAGTATTCCATAGATCCCATATTTTTTATACTGGAATATTTAATTAATACATTCCAGTCGATTTTAGTCATCTAAAATTTATAATAATTTATACAAAACTGTAGATAAAATAATATACAATAAAATAATGCTCCATCTATAAACATATATGTACGTGTCACATAATACAAAAATATTTGTATTATTTTAATGTTAATATTAATTATGAGGATACAAGAATGCAGAGAAGAGACAAAGTACTGACCACACAAAAACAGACAGACAACTAAACACATTTCTGACATCGCATGATTATATACATATATATATCCTGGGATGGAGTGATATGTGTGTTCAAGCTCGTGAATTTTGAATATAAAAATAACACCGTTTAAGTACCAATTGTAGAGCAACACTTGTCAAATTTTGAAATGGCAAAAAAATGAACTTGAACTGCTTTTATTAGTTATTGTCATATTAAAAAAGACTAAATATACTCTGAATAGATCGATATCAAAATGACATCTTGGAGACAGGAAATAATCTGCGATATTCCAAGTCGTATTCATCATAGATTATATGTTTTTTTAAAAAAAAACTACAGATATCAAAAACAAAACAAAATTGGGACTTAAACAGGCCAGAATTTTCACCACGCGTTAAAATGATACGATGGTTGAAGCTTTCGAACACCATGCCATCGCGTGCCTCGCTATTAGGTCGACAGTGTCAGTAATAAATAGTTCTGACCGATTCGTTGCTCGTGGCTTCATTCGCCTCAGTCTCGTGGAAGCGCGTGTTTTGGACCTCATCCAGCATCTTTAACAGTTCCTCCATTCTGCTGTTTGGTCGTCTTCTGGATCTGTCTTCTAGAATGGCTCTAATTCTTCTCAATGCTTCTTCGCTCGTATCCTTCTTGTTGAGTACCGCTTCATAAAACTCCCACCAGTTGTCGATACTACCGAACTGCTGTTCTCTATTCTTTAGTATGTCTTCGTAAATCTGCCACCAGTTGTTGGCGTAATACTCCATCGGATATGTTCTAGTTAGGTCGAAAATTTCAAAATTATTTTTGGATCTTTGTTCATTAATTTTGGACCTCTCTAATGTATTATTTTTTGTGATAGTTGTAGTGCTGTAATGGTTTATGTTTCGTTCCAAGTTGTGTTGGGAGTTGACATTTAGTATCACGTTTCTGTGGTAAGTGGGTGGTGCTGATTGCCTCTCACTCTCTATTGGCGCTAAATTCTCCTTCCTGCGCGTCTCACACTTATATTTCTTTATAATTTCCTTATAATACTTCTCCAACAAACATAATTCTTCATATGTGTATTTAGAAATATCTATTTTAGTGTAAACGTTAAGTATGTCTTCGATATTTACGACCTTTTTCTTTCTACCTTCAAATTGTATGTCTGAAAGTAGTTTGAGTTGTTCTATGAGAGGATCGAAACCTTTGTATATAAAATCTGTTTTGGCAAATTCGATTAATTTCAAAACCATATCTTCATATTTTTGGTCGTATTCTAAATCTTTGTTAATCGCCTTAGACCTGTCAACCTCCTCGATGAAGCTCTGTAATGTCTCCTTCTCTTTATCATATTTATCCATTTCTGACTTTATTTCACCTAAAACTAGCTCGTGACCGCTAAATCGTTCTAGCTCACGTCTAGTTTCTTCCATTTTCTCCAAATTACGCTTAGCCAAAGCTTTCCACCATTCAGTGTCATCTTTAAACAAATTCCAAAATTCAGTTTTCTTTTCTTTAGGCACATCTACATTTTCCTTATTATCTTCTTTATTATCTTTAATTGGTGTAACATCTTTTATTTCAATTTTATCTATCGGTGATTTGGGCGCAGTAGTTTCAGGGCTTTTGACTTCTAAATTGACGATCAGATTGATAGGTTTTACTTTTTTTACTTTAAAAACGGGGCTTTTAAGCCTTGGTTTCTCTAATTTGGGTTTTTTAATATCTGTGTGTACGGTTGTTGTTATAGTAGTTGTAATATTTTCGTTGACAACATCTTGCCAATCCAAATCATCCATAACTTGAGATAACCTTTTCATTTCATTGTCTAAATCCGAACTCACTTTTTCAGTATGCCGTCTCTTTCTATTGTCAGCTTTCTCAAAGGTGTCGAGACATAAATCGATTAATTTGCGTAGCTCACCTAAGAATATAGTCTCCCCATATTTTACTACACGCCAGTCCATATCGAAGAGGCTATTTCTTGAAGCCAGGTTATATCTGGTGTTGACATCATCATTTTGCACCCTCGACGTAGGTTTGCTCATTTTGCTTTCAATGTACGTAATCATTTCTTCACAGCTGTCGTGGAAGATCGTTGGTGACACGTCATCATCATGACTGGAATAGTCTAGAAGCTTTATTAGTTCTTCCTCTTGGTCAGACTGGAAAATGTCGGTTTCAGAATCGCAAGAGTTATAATCTCGTACGTTGATGGACCGCCGCTTGGTTTTCGGTATGGTATTAGTTTTTATGGGAAGGCTCCACCGCTTCGGGTCGGATAAACGCTATAGGCAACAAAAAGTCCAATATTGACACGCACAGACGGACACAAATGAACACATGTGTATATATAGTGAGTGATAAAAAAATCTAAAATAGAAAATAAAAAAAAATATAAACAAATAGACAAAATAACTGTGTAAATATAATCCAGTATTTCAGAAATATTAAAAAAAACATGGCAATAATTTGCCATCGGTGTTAATAATTAATTTAGCACAAATTTTATTAAAGTTAAATCGAAAATTCAATTAAATTATCGTATTCATATCAATACTTTTTTCTTTAACTGAAGATCCCGGTCCATGTTGTGGACCCCTAACTCTTTATGTAGACGAAGTTTTTTTAAACCATAAAACATATTAGCAAACACGATCCAGGGAGGTTGTGACCAAAAATTTGCTCTAGACTATTTTTAATTAAAAAAATCTAATTGTCTTTTCTTTTTAAGTACAAAGAACTCTTTTTCTGTGACAAATTAGTATCAACCGAAAGTAAAAGACGTGTAGAATATACCATCACACGTTTGGCAACATATTAAATAACTATCCAGGTATGGTCATATCAGTAATGGTTTCACATCAATATAAAATGGTTTAATATCAGTAATGGTCATATGGTTTCATATCAGGTAAATAGAAGTAGTTAATTACTCGAACTAAGTATCAAAAATGTAGATAATTTTAAAACAAATTTAATGATATAGGTTTGTCATACCAAACTTTACAAATTTTTAAAAATAACATACAAATTTTGGTGACAATCCACCCTCCTGGGTCGTGTTTGTTAATATGTTTTATGGCTTAAACATATATTTCATCTGGGAAAAGAATGTGGTGGCACATAGGACGGGATCTTAGACTAATATATAGATAGTTAAAATTATTAAAATTAACCGAGCTTCAAAGAAAACAGTTCTGAATCCAACAAATAAGTACAACATTACACCCTTACATATGAAAACACCACATACATAAAGCATATGCCCACCTTTTTCTTGCCCACACTCTAGACTAAACTTGGGATTTTAAATCAGTAATAACATTCAACACAAAGAAGCACTCGTCATGCACACCCATCCACAATAGATCCGACTGATTTTGGGAGAAAACATCGCATACATTTGTTCTTTGTCTAAATTAATAAATAAATTAAAATTCTCAATTAACCATCCACTCACAAAGCAGACTTTATCACCAACCATCACAGGTATATCAGGTGGAAATATTAATTCTTTCTCTGAACAGATTTCGGTAATACTTCCTTAGATATACGCGAACATTTGACATTTTAAAATGAAACTATCTTTTCGCGATTTTGTCGCAGTTTTATTTTACAATTTGAATGCTTTACAGTAACTATGGCCATGGGAGAGACTGACCGTTTTAATGATCATGACTGCCGAGAAGATAGTTCCAGAGTAGTAGAAGTATTTCTCTATCACGCCTTGCCGTCATCAGATCGAGATGGTCACCAATCACTCACTGTATAGATCATACCTTACTGTCATCACATCAACCTGCCACCAGTCACTCACTAAATAGATCACACCCTGCCGCCATTAGACCAAGACGGCCGTGTCGCCAAGTATTCCCTGCACGTACCTTGGCGGCGTGCTTGAGGCGCTGCATGTCTGGGTGTGCCACGTGCTTGCCGCTGGCGGCGGCAGTGGCGGCGGCCAGGTCGCGCAGCGCGGCGGCGGCGTCGCGCGCCGCGTGAAGCACGAGCACCTGCGGCTCCGCGCCGCCGCCCGCCAGCGACGCAGCACCCGCCTTCACCACCGCGCACAGTTGCACTGCGCACACACACATACATACATGTTAAAAGATTGTTAAAAAATTCGATTAACCGAGGCGTTGACAACGCAATTATGACAGAAATATAACAGTGACAAAATATCGGACAACTCCCTGAACGGTAATGTTCGTATCACATTGAGAGTTTCAAAAATGTACTAAAGAATCACCAACCGCTCACTCCTACTCACCTATAGTAGCCACGGCGCTCTGCGCGGCAGCCGCCAGCTGGTCCTGGCTGCCAGCAGCTCCCCCCACCAGGGTCTTGGTGTCCTCCACGAGGGTCTTGGCCGTCTTCAAGATGTTCTCGCGGTGATTGGAGAATGTGTCGCCTTCTATGTCGGATTGGAGTGTGCCTAGAAGGAGAATTTATAAAGTGTCCAAATTGGAATCAAGAAATTTCGTACTTTACATTAAAATTCGTGATGTTAAAAGAGAGAAAACTTAACATTTTGGGATGGGTTCCATTATCATACAAATCCGTTTATAATAGAAACTGTAATCATAGTTAATGCTAGAATGGAAAGGACGCTACAAAGTGAGAGTGAGATAGACAAAGTGTGAGAGAGATAGAGATAAGGTATGTTACCAGCGCTGGCGAAGAGTATGGTGGTATCGAGGTCCCCGAGGATTGTGGCGATGGTGGCAGCGGCGTCGATGCAGGCCTGCGTGCCGCGCGAGCCCGCCTGCAACGCGCTGAGTACACCCACCACCTGCACAAGGAAATGTGTGGATTTAATATATAATTATTAATAGTTTAAAAATATACACGTTTTTGATGGACTGCAAACTATGGACTCGTCATATGTAGAACCATTAAAGAGTTCATTATAAAATCTTTGTATTGCTGTACTGCATAATTATAAGAGTAACAAAGAATCTGTATTATCATGCGATAACAATAATTGTTTCCATAAGTTAGACCTTTCTACCAATCAATCTTTGTTTTGCTAGCGTTTTCATAGTTGGGATGTTCGTTATGTGTAAAAAATGCATATTATCTGTATAAAGTCCTTTTTAGTGTCTTATTGCTGGGCGCGGGACTTCACTACGAGAGCCCTTCAGGACGATCCATCATCACACTGGTCTAGTGCACGGTGGATTTCACATTTCTTTCAATAACAAATATGCTAGGTTTTCTCAGACATGCAGGTTTCCTCACGATGTCTTCCTTCATCGTAAGACAAGTGGTAATCATGTTGGAGATGATTCGCATGAAAATAGTGCGTGACTCGGGAGGCGTACTCCTATCGCTGGGGTTTCCAAGCGAGGTCGTTATCACTAGGCTACCCATTGCCTATATTACCTTCTCCCCGACGGCGCGCGCGGCGTCGGCCACGGCGCGCTGCTGGCGCGGCGCGGCGGCGTGTCTGCAGGCGCCGCCCGCCGCCACCAACGCCGACACCGCCTCGCCCAGCTCCACGGCGCACACACGGATCCTGACCCACCCACCATCGACAGTTAGATACAAGATAGCACTAATACTTTTAAAATTGTAAAGAATTTTTTTTTGTCATGCAACCATTTTAAGATGTAGTAGTGAAGTTCGTAGATGACTGTACTGTATTAGTAGACTATAGTAGGACAATAGAGCAACCGAGAACTCGAACCTGTTAGCAATGTCCGGATTGGGCGTGGTGGCGGAGGCGCCCACGCTGTCGGCCGCCAGCTGCTCGTATTTGCCGCACATCTCGTTGCCCACTTCCACTAGCTTGGAAGGTTCTGTAGCCGATTTTGCTGTCTACAAGTTTTTTTTTCTATTTAAAATTGTTTTTTTGGCTATATATTTAAAATAGAAAAATATCATGATCCTTTTTTATGACACACATTTAATAGTAAATCTATATTATAGATACAAACAAAACCTTACCATATCAGTTGCCAGACGCGCAATGTCCTTCGCAGTTCCCACCATCCTGGTCTGATAGTCGACGAACGAATCCGCCTCATCGTACGAACCGATTAGCGACATTCTGATGACAAATGGATTGATGCTCAAATAAATTGTATATTTATCTATATCTTATATTATAAAGCCGTAGAGATTGATTTTTGTGTGTATTCATCTCTGGAACTACCAGACTGTTTGATATTATAGTCTCGTATCTATTTATTTATAAAACATACATAATTATTTCACAAGAGTTTCTAATATAGTGAAGGATATTCGTCTCCTTAAATGGGGTTTAATAGGGGATGAAGTCTTGTAAGGAAATTCGTTACTTTATTTAAATAGTTTTTAAAGAAAAATTGCGTTTTACCAGAATAGACACCTGTTTAGATAAACTTAAAATGCAAAACCTTATACAAAATTCGATCCAAATCGTTAGACCGTTGTACCGACCGAGATACACGAAATAAATATATAAGAATTGCTCATTTAATATTATAAGATAAACGTGAAATTTAGTCAAAATATCTTCTAGCACAAGTCTTTGACATCCGCAGTTCTGTAACTTTTAACTTTTAGAAGCTATATTTTAAATAAACGTCTAATTAAATCATGTAATGCACAGATTATAAATAGCTTATAACAACACTGCCCTTGCATTCCAATTGGTCGACAACAAACAACTTTCTTAGCTAGTAAAAACATATAACATAAGAAAAATATATCTAATACTTTCTTAGATTTACACGAATATTTGACATTTTAAATAAGACTAATTTTTCGAATTTTTGCCATAATCACTATAAAGCATTCTAAACGCTGGGAACCAAAAATCAAATTAAATCATATGTTAGTTTTAAGGTATATATTATGCCATGGGCCTCTGTTTACGTATTTAAGATCCTTATGTAAATATTGCCTGAAATAAATGATTAAAAAAATCTACAAAAAATCCGTTAACACAATTTTTATTTAAAAACATATTTGAGACATCACCCAAATTAGCATCACTTGTACCAGAACACAAACACAAAACACATAAACATGACTTTCCCACTATGTCCAACGATTTCTCTCTTATTTTTAATCTATATTTAGAGCATATTAAAAAGGCATAACAGTATTTACTAAATAATAATATTTATACAAACAGTTTGTTCATATTTGACAGCGAGAGGAACGCGGCGCAAGTCGAGGTGCGCGTGCGCGTAATGAGATCATCCGCACTAATTGTAGCGGATTTCGCTTTTAATGGCTACATTTTTAGACTTTTTGATCTAATTTTGATTTAAAAAATTAATGCATACACATATTTCATATAATATGAAATTTAAAGGATCTAATATGATAATAAATAAATTTGTTAATGATTGAATAGTTTTAGAAAATGAAGATTAAAAAAAATTATTTCTCGAAATATAAAAAAAAATAGAGTAAAAAATATTTAGAATGTTTCTTTTACATTTATGTTTTCTTCATTTTAAATTTAGAAAATTTTTCATCAATATCCGGCTAGATTTAGCCTTTATCTAATAATTTCTCAAAAACGTCTTGAAATGTAAATAACTAAATATTTTTTTATGTATTTTCAGATAAAGAACCACATTAAAAATCGAATTTTAGCATAACAATTATAAGTCAATGATAATGAATCTGGTAGACCCATTACTACGGAGGTAACAAGTTCGATATATATATGTAAATAATTCTTTAAAATGAGTATTTAGCTCAAACAAAACGTTCCTATTGCGGTCAGTCACGACACTTAATAATATATGTATGTTGGTCTCTCAAACAATTTCTCGTTAACTAAGGCGGTGGTGTTGTGTAAATATGTTAATAACTCTGTAATAGGCTCGAGCTAAATTTGAACTGGTTAATTTTAGTTAGGGCAATGTTTTGCTCTTACGTACAGTTCATCTTAGTCTATTTTCATACTTGGAAGGTAAACGTTACTTATAGAGGTGTACTTAAAAGTTTTATTATGATCGACCCGCTACTGCTTCGCATTTAAATGACAATATTTCCTCCACGACCGCGGACACGCCGGAAATACTTTCTTAGATTTGCGCGAATATTTGACATTTTAAATATAAAACTATCTTACGGATTTTTTCGTAGATTTATTTTGATTTTCGGTTTAGGACGTTTCGAATGTTTTACAGCACAGCAGCAATCATGGTCACAGGACTATGATTTCTGTAAATACGAAAATATATTTTTATTTAAAACGTCAACTATTTGCGTAAGTCGAAGAAAGTATTATCTAAATTTATGTAGTCATATTATACCGTCTTTTTTAATATAGACAAAACCGTATGAAATGAATAGTAAATATGTGAGGTGGTATTGGCGTTCGTCCAGGCGCGAGCGGCGCGGCCTCAGCGCTACGTCGCGTCACCAATATAGATGATGTTCTGCTAATACTTATTTTGATTGACTGATTCATTCATACATCAATATAAGAATTATTGTGTTTTTTGAAAATATACTGCTTTTGCCGCGTTAGGGTAAAAATGATGAGTGATATTATTTGACCGACGAAAAAAAAGGAGGAGGTTGACACGTATATTTTTGTTTATTTATTATGTACGACCACGCGTACTTTTTTATAGTATAGTCCGGTTTCGATGATTTTTATTTATTGGATAGGGTTTACCTCAAACTTGGTCCCAGGTCCCATTTAAATTTAAATAAAAACCACCCCTCAATGGCTAAGTGTTTTTACACTGGGGATGATTGATTTTTCACCTACTGAATTTAAAAAAGTACTTTCTTCTTATTTTGCTACTACTATGTCTGCACCAAAAATATCTTCCTTGTACAGAAAGCTATCAGTTATAGTTTTATCATATGTATAGATAACTGTTAAGAATTCAACAACACAGAAAAGTATCTTAATATTATACAAACATTACATTTAAAACTTTAAATAGTGACAGGTGTAATTTCGTACAGTGGAAAAAAATATTTTTTTTTTTAAATAATAAAATAATTATTTTAAGACTTTTATCTCGCTCAAATAGGAGTCTTGCACAAGTAAAAGAAAAGATTATTATTATTCTTAAAATGTTTATACGTATATATATTTTCAAGATACACTCTAATCGAGTACCTCTCTATTCGAGATCGGTTAAAAACCAAAGAGTTTCATCAATAAACCGTACGGTACTTTGTCCTTAACATTAAACACGTTATATTTAGAGTCTGCGGCTATTTGCATGTTATTGATGTATGTTTTATGTTATCTTTTGAGACCTAAGTGCTTTCATTTATCATATAGGCGCAGTGGTATCTCACTAGGGATGCTACGTGGAGAAACACCAATTTGATTCCGGTACGAAGCAAATATTTGTTACTGTTAGTACAACTAAAATCATGACAAATAAAATCCTATTTTTGACAATATCCCATTATGTATATATAGGCTATTATAAACGCAAAAATTTGTATGTGCGTGTGTACGTGTGTTTGTAACTCCTTCATGCTAAAACGGGTGGACGAATTTGGATGACATTTAGCACACAGACTGTGGAATATGGAGCACTAGGTACATGGGTAAGTCACTAGTATAATATAATAAATAAGATGAACGATCGTATGTTTGTCCTCTATGCGTTCCTAAATCATTAATCCGATTATGATGAAACTCTGGTTGCTTATACTGTATACGCATGCGAATGTTCCTGGATCAAAAAAAGTATTTTTCTTTGGACGTTTTTTTGCGATCCTAAATCATTCAAGTTTATAGACGCAGCCGAGCGAAGCTAGGGTAAGTAAGGGTAAAATAAATCTTAAAAAATGGTAGTTTACCTTAAAAAAGTATAATATGTGAAATGTGGTTTGATACTCGTAACAAAAACTGAAGAACACACTATTGGGTCGCGGTATTTGTGTCGAGAGTATGCGAAATAAGTTTTACGATTTGGCGTACGAGTGTGATTGGTCATATATCGTGTCTGTTTCGAATTAAACCTAATGTATATTTTATTAATATATAGATGATGTGTTTGTCTATTCGTTTGTTAGTTTGAGCGCGTCAATTTCTGGAACTAGCAGTTTTATGAAACAAAATGGATATACTCATTACAAGGCACGTTTTTTATGTGCATTTTCCCGATTTGTTTAAAGAGTGATTTTTATCTTTTAATAACAACTATTATAAACTTATATTTATTACTAGCGCCTCACTCTCGCTACGCTCGGGTTCGTCCTTAGGATTAGGACCATTTTAACAGTTAGTATGGAATAGATAGACTAAAATATATTATATAATACATTAGCCTTCATCAAATATACGGGCTATTTAATACAAAAATATTTTTTTCAAATAGTATTTGCTGAGATTAGCGTGTTTAAACAAACAAACTCCGCCTGTTTATAATATTGGTAAAGATTAAAAGACAAAAAAACACTAAATAAATCGTAAAAATCCATTGACAAAACGTCCTCATAACTTGATGGTTAGTCCATAAATATTTGGTAGATTTTCGACTGAGAGTTTGAAAAGGCTGGAGGAGTCGTCTTCACAAGAGCCTTTTGTTCGCTTTGGAGTCTTTTTAAAAAAGCAACAGTCTCGTTTCTCTCGGACTCTTATCAGCAGAACTTCCTTCCTAAGCGGTGATAACTTCCTCATGGACTTACACATTGAAATTCAATTTAAATTTCAAAAATGTACAATGTACAATTCAAAAGAGCTTGTTAAAGCATACTTCGATTTGATTTGTCATACTTCAAGTAAGCCAGTTTACCTGTGGTCGGTGAGACGGGCCACGGCGCGCGCCACGCAGTCCAGCAGTGGGCCCACGGCGCCGCGCTGTGTGCTCAGCTCGCGCACATGCGTGCCCAGCTCGCGCAGCGCGGCACGCGCCAGCGCCGCCTGCGCGTCAACTTCCGCGTGCGCGCTGGCCGCCTGGTAAACAACGACAGCGATTAGCCAAAATTCGTAATCTGTTCATTAATTACAAAGAAATCTTTAATAAGATTTCATTCATTAGAAAATTAAACGTGTAAATCGATTCTCTCTCGGTAAATGAATATGAAATATTTAATAATTTTTTAAACAATTTTAGTGATAATACTAACATTAACGGTTAGTATATATTATGTGATAGAAAATATGTTGATCCGGATATTCAGCTTTCAACATACAAAATTTCATCAAAATCTATCACGTGGTTTCTTTGCGATGCGTTCCCAGAAAGACAGCCAGACAAAAATTCTAAAAATTATAGGTTTGGCCTTTGTATAAAATAATAATTACAGTATCGGTATAATATTTAAATCGAGTCATAGAGCTTTTGATCGACGTCGATGTTACGTTTGTATCAGTCAAACGGGGATGACTAACAGGGAGTGTGTGAGTGAGAGGGGATGGTGGTGGGACGTGTTTGATTGTTACCCGTGGGTTCCCGGCGGCGGAGCGCGCGGCATGCACGAGCAGCGTGAGCGTCTCGAGCACGGTGCGCGCGTGCTGCAGCAGCTCGGCCTGCGCGCGCGACTCCGACGTGTTGGAGGCCGCGCCGCACGCGCCCGCCACCAGCGGCTCAGCGTAAGACACCTGCACGCACACACACGTTGAATCAAATTGTTCAATAACTTAGATATACTGCATAATGTGTGTTTGTAAATATTAAAAATCAATTAACAGTTATGAGTTGGACATTAATAATTTAAAAGTATGTTAGATAAACACAGTATGCAACAGATATTTTTTACCATTGCGTTTAGTAAAAATAAGAGAAAATTGTTGCAGTATATTTGAAAATTGCACAAAATGGAGGTTTAATAAATTTAATTCAATTTTGTATCCATTTGTTTGTGTTAGATATAAAAAATATGCCCCAAAAAAGTAAAATTAATTAAATTTCTAAGAAATCTATTGTTAACTGTAACGCCAGCGTGTCCGCGGTCGTGGAGGGATTAATAATCAATAATTATTATTAATTAAACATCCATTTCATTGAGTCTACGCTGTGTATATATAAATGACACTGTTAAATTCCAAGAAAAATCCCACAAAAACGGTTAACATTACAGGAATTGCTATAAAAATACAAAATGTGTTTTACAATAGATTACGAATCAACGGTATCTATCGTCTATTTCGCAAACAAACCACCAAATTTAAGACCATAAATATGTATGAGGCCAGTGGAGTACACCCACACATGGAGTACAATGCGGTATGGTATAGTCTTATGGTGTGCTATGAGGGTGGTGGTGGCGGTGACACTCACGAGCTGCGCGACGGCGTGGCCCAGGTGCTCGGCCTCGCCGCAGGCCGCCACGCGCAACGGCTCTAGGCGCTCCGCCATCTCCGCCGCGCTGCTCTCGATCTGCTCCGAGTAGCCTGGCGGGCGACAGACACACTGTACTGTACTAATGTACTTAATTACACTTTATATTATGGTATATAACTAACTAGTTTTGGCAGCGGGTACGTCCACATCTTTATGTCTTTAGCGGCAATGATACAGGACCTTCGTGTACACCTACTATAGCTTATAGAGCCCTTAAAAAAGATAACTGCCTTCACTCTATCATATTATAACGACTCAACAGATTAAAAATAAAGCGTAATTAAAAAAAAAATAGTTATGAATCGTACAAAATTAGTAAAAGTTTAATTTTAAAGAAGGCATACAGGTACCATCGCAGAAATCTACGAGTTACGGCTAGACCGAAACCAGTGATACATGAACACCCAGTAGATACCTTGCAAGGTGTTGGCCTGGCGCGGCTCCAGCTCCTGGCTGACGGCCTGCAGCGCCACCTGGTCCAGCTCGCGCAGTTGCTTGTTTAGCGACTCCAGCGCCGCGCCGCATTCGCGCTGACCCGGCGCCTTCTCGCTGAGATACACACCGAAATATCAACAAATAAATCCACATGGAAACATATACACAATAGAACAAGTGTCATTTGGTTCATTAAATAAATTTAGTTTAATATAAATGGATATTATATATACTAAAAATTAATGCTGTCAGTTGGCAAGAATAATATATACATGAAAACTGTTTCTTTTAAGTGTGTGCAATAAGAACCTTATTTTGTCAATTAACTTTTTAGGCATAGTGAAATTTAAAAAGATTCCTAATAAATCAAGAAATTCGAACTAAACTGAACATCCTTAATTTGAACACAATTTTTGTTTGGTTTGAGCTAGTTTAGAAACATGTTTTCAATTAGAACATTCAAAATGTTTTTCAAAATGTTTAGGAAAACTACCCGTTCACCTGTCTGCGGGCTGACGGGTGTCGAGTAACGGGTGACGGGTGTCGGGTGCATTACCGTATGTTGGTGACGAGACTCTTGATGGTGTCGGAGACGGCCTTGCTGTGCGCGGCGAGCGCATGCCACTGCGCCCGCTCACCGCTGTTGAGCGCGAGCGCGCCCGCCGCCTCCACCATCGCGCACGACTCCGTTATTATATCGCTGCACACACACACACGCACAAACACATTATAATATGTTATATAGAAGAAAACAATTGGTAAATGTTACAAATATGGATAAATGAGTATTTTTATTATATGTAGATAAAATTGGATCATTTATTATTTTCTTTTGCAGTAACTCATTAACTTAAAAACTTGGAACTTCAAAGAAAACAAAAAAGAAATGTATCAAAAACATTGTAGAAATATTATGATACATAGAGAAAATTAAAAGATAGTGGTGTATAGTGGATGACAGGTGCTTACCGTCCGCAGCGCAGCACCGCCTCCTGGCTGTCGCGCGCGTGCTGCGAGATGCGCGCCGGCACGGCTGCGAACTCGGGGCTGTCGGCAAAGGCGCGCAGGCTGCGCACCGCCTCCTGCAGCGGCGCCGTCGCCGCAGCGCAGCGCGACCGGTTCTCCTGCGACACCATGTTATATATATATATATATATATATATATATATATATATATATTTATATATATAATATTAAAATGTGAAAGCAAAACATCCCCAACTCTCCAAATTCAGTCTACTAAGTATTGAGTATTTCGTGCCTCACCCGAGAGTCGAACTCAGGATCACACATACATACATCCAATACTCACATCCGAATAATCCTTATCGAGGAGCTTGATCTCCTTAACTAAATCGGAGGTGCGGTTCGCCACGTCTTTAGCGGCTTGCACGAAGTGTCGCTTGGCGGCGGGTGCGGTGCATCTGGCGGAGGCCAGGCGGCAGGTGTGGCACAGCGCGCCAGTGTGTTTGGCCACGAGCGTGGCCGCGGTCAGGACGCTGGGCTGTGGCGCGGTGGGGTCGGCCAGCGTGATGCAGGCCTGGTCGATGGCGGCGGCCGCGCGTGCCAGCGCCGCCTGATCCACCAGCCCGGCGCGACCCGCTGTCGATGTTGGGTCTGATACCGCCACCTGTTCACATTATATGGTAAATTGATTTACTGTTGGTCCTTCGAGACAATGTAAAAAATAGGTAATATGAAAAACGCAGGAGTTCCATATCTGCATATGAATAAGTTTACTAAATAAACTTATTTAAATTTATGATTTAAGGATTTATTTACAATTATGTAATTTTGTATATTTTTTAATGTGAACTTTTAGAAAAAACATATGAATAATTTATTACTATTACCAGAAAGAAAAATGGCAAAACATACTTTTATCCTTAAAAAAAAACGTATGTGTGTATGTAAATATGTACACACGTTACACACATGAAGTTATACTTCTTTGGTTTTTAGAGCATTTAAATAAAAGCTTATCTTTGTTGTTTTTTTTTTATTTTATTGAAATTATACTTCTTTTGGCACGTTTGGAATAAAATATGAGAGTAAAATTTTCACGATGACAGCCAAAAGCGACATAATGAAGTTAGCTGCTTTCCTTTACACGCTTTGAAGTTGTGACATGCGGGATGAAATCTTACGTAAGTACACACACACGTTTAATTTTCGTAATCTTTGCTACAAAAACTTTCATTTCATATCCATATCATGGGGGTATATAAAACACATAGTCCGCTATATTGGATTTACAATGACGTCATTTTGTTTCGTGTGTTTCGCTCATAAGCCCTTGCCCATAATATCAAAAGGGTCGCTATGGAAATGACAAATCGTAATTTTGTAACATCCGCCATATTGGATTAACAATGGCAGTATTAAGGCAAGTCACGAGAACGAAACATGTGTGCCAAATTTCAGCAAAATCGGACATTGGGAGCGGAGTGGGTCAAATTTAACTTGCAAGATTTGATTGCACACAGATACCGGGACAGGTGAATAAACTAAATAAAGCTTGTAATACTTATTTTTTATATTTATCGATATAAAACACGTGTTGTGTATATAGAAATACCGGAATAAATATCTTGAATATGGACATGACATTTTACTCAAGGGAGTTTTAACGACTAACTTCATACTGTAGTCTAAATCTGTCGCATCGTAAAAAAATCACTCTCATCATTTTTCCCCTTTACGCGCCAAAAGAAGTATAACTTAAAAAAATACTAAATGACAACAACTGCCCAACATGAATATAATGTATTGATAAATCTCTTTAAATATGTAGCATAATATATGACGTATGCTAGGCACGTACCAGGTAGGCGGCCTGCGCGGTGCACTCCACGAGGCCCTGCACGGCGGCCGCCACGCCATTCACGCCACGCTCGCACGCCTCCGCCTCGCCGCGCTTCACGGCGCCCGCCATGCACGACATGCCCTCGCCTATCATACATAGACACACACACACATAAAACATACATTCGTTCATTTTTTGTGTTAAATCAATTTCGATACATTGAATCATTAAATAAAAGCATGAAATGAAATGATGGATTTCGAGTTCTAAATACATAACATGTATATAGAAGACAGGATAATTATTAGTGGCTAGTAGCAATATATACCCGTCGCATCTCTCGGGTGCGTCCCTAGTCGTCAATTTGTCATACATTCTATTAGTTTATTTAAAACTCTTTTTCTTTATAATATTAGTGTAGATTTATATTAGGGCAAATGGATGTGATTTTTATTATAATTTTAATTATGGGATCACTAAACTTCATTACATAATATTATAAATCGACATCCCCCACCACGCTGAGTCTCTGTTTATCTGAGCCAAGAATTCGAAAGGTGGTGGTGCCGCTAACACTACAATAAGGTAACGATAAATGGTGGTATAATGGCTGCGGACAGATTTCCTATCGACAGGACACAGCACCAATAACGCCACATCGTCACACTGGTAGTTGTAGTGGTGGTGGATAGTGTATACATACTTAGCAGTCGGCTATGGTCTACAACGGCGTCGAGGCACGCGAAGTAGCCGAGATCGGAGAGCGGCTGCGAGGGCGCAGTGAGAAGCGCGCGCGCCGCCGCCATGCGCAGCAGCGCCGCCGCGCACGCCTTCTGCCCCGGCGCCGCGCGCGTACACACGTCCACCTGCGCGAAGCAAATAGCAACACGCACACATTAAACACTTTCACACACGCACACTTTAAATACTTGTGACATTACTACAGATGGAATAAAAGAGGGGAGTGGAAGAAATATTTAATGACAAACCCACGTAGCGTGGGAGTAGGTTAAGGTTAAATAAGAGACTTTTTAATGTTATAATAATTTTTTTTTAATTTATATTTTGGAATTATATTTTAGATAAAACAATACAAACACAAATGTTGAACATTTGTGACATCATTGTAGTACTATAGATGAAGTGTATGAGAAAAGGGAATGGAAGAAACAACTTGTGCCCATGTGGCGTGGGATTAGGACATTGAAAAAAATACTCTTAATAATATAATAATATTATTTTCGAAATTTATATTGTAGATAAATTATTGTGATAAAGATCACGTAACATACACACAAAAATAGAAAATAAATTACAAGCGAATTGAGTACTTCTTCCTTTTCGAAGATAGTCAAAAAAGATGTCATACAGTTACTGTAAATATATGTCAGACATACAGATGGTCAGGAAGCAATTGCCAAATTCTTTACCGTTTAAAAATAGTTTTTCTTAGACAATTTAACATAATAAAAGAATACTAAATTAAAAGTATAATAATGTACAGATACTAACCAGATCGTTGATGCTTTCTGTGACAGCGCGCGCGGCCGCCGCCAGCTGGTTCTTGGCGTTTGGTCGATTCAAATCCTACAAAAAAAAAATATATTTATTCAAAAATATTCTTCTTTTCCTTAAAGTGTCATCTTGTATATTAAGTGAATTGTATATAGCAATATGTCGTGTCAAATTGACAATATATATTTTTTGACATTAATTGATATCAAACAAAAAATCAAACAGAAAGTTATCTCACCTGGCTCACAGACTTAGCAGTTCCCAACAACTTGGAGGAGTTGACCGTCACCGTCTTCAGGGAGGTGACCATTTGAGTGCGGCTTTCGATTTCCTATAGAAAAGAAAAGAAAGAAAATATATCAGTGAATTTCCAATGAAATTAAATTTAACTTTATTCAATTAGTAAACTCATACGACGAGCACTTTTGAATCGTCAATATAATTTAAAGAGTGTCAGCGTAGTCTGTCCGTGCGGAAGCGATCACCGGCCCGGATAGTTCTCTTGAGAACAGCCCAAGAGGAAGTTCAAAAATTGCTCTTTCATTTTTTCGCTTAATCAAGTGCTGTCCAAGTGATAAAATATGTATAACTAGCATTGCTCACGGCTCCGCCCGCGTTCAGATGACCAAAAAGCAAATTCTTAGGTTTTACATATTAGTATATTCTTAACAATGCAGTTTTTGTATTTTTTCTCAGAAATGGATATTTTCCCGCGGTAAAAAGTATCCTATATGTTGACCCGGATAACCAGCTATCATCATACCAAATTTCATCAAAATCTGTCCAGTAGTTTTCTCGTGATGCGCTAACAGACAGACAGACAAAAATTCTAAAAACTATAAACTCAGACTCTGTATCGATAATAATGTCTATTTTAATTAGATTTTCCAAAAAATATTGAATGTACAGATTCGACTTAGTTACAATTTTATTATATGTATAGATTTGTAATTTAATAAGGTATCTCCTAGGTGCTATTTGAATTCATAATAATATATGAAAACACTCACCCTAACTAGTAACTAGGTTTTATTGTAACACTAGCATATATCCCTATTCCCTCCCGTTCATACTCTAACATTTTACCACACACACGCACCTCAGTATAGCCGGCCATCTCGAGACACACGCCGGCGAGGCGGTCGAAGGCGGCGTGGAAGTCGGCCGCGCGCGCCGGCAGCGCGTCGCCCACCACGCCCTCCACGACGCCCGACGCGGCGCCGTTCAGCTCTACGGCCGCCGAGTTCAGCTCGGTTTGGAGCTCGCTGGACATTATGTGAATAAACAAATTAAATTTAAAATAAAAAATAAAGAGTGCGTGTATAAATCTGTACACGCGCAAGAAGTAAAACTTCTGTAGGTTATCGGTACTCTTTATGAAATTCAATTTATGTTATAAATACCTAGGATAGGTGAGATACTAAAAATAACTCATATTAGGCATATTACAATCATATATTTATAGAATATCATTTAAGGAAAGAATATAATATTATATATCATTTTTCAGACAATAACAACGGTTACCATGGCAACAAACGTACGGGATTTTTTTCGTAACGCATTCACGAGCGTACGTAAATTCAAGCGTGCGTTAATAAGTTTTACTTCAAAAAGTCGGTCAGTGTCGCAGGACTCCCGGTAGGAGCGAAGTTCCTTAGTAACTATTGAAGAGTTATCATTAGATTAGTGAGATGGTATCAAATTATTCGCCTCATTCAGAACTATTCAACGTCCCACTGCTGGGCCTCCCCGAAATGAGAGAGAGAATATCATTGCCATTATCTACCACGCTGGCCAAATGCGAGTTGGTAGACTTCACGTCTTTCGAAAACTACTTGGGTTCTCTGAGACGGGTAGGTTTCTTTACAATATTCTCCATCATCATGTAGAAAATAATTTAAAACCAAGATTTGAACCCGCTTCACTTAGCTTACACTTAACCACTGTACCATCTGAATATTAATTAACATTTACCCATAAGTCTTGTCCGTGTGGGGGAACTCTCCCATGTCGAGCACGTCGATGGTCTGGTTGATGCTGTCCATGGCGGCGTCCAGCTCCGCGTGAGAAGGCACCGCTTCTATCATTTGCTCTATACTCTGTAGGAGAAAATGACCAACATTAAATAACGTCATTTTAAGTGTATGTTTCTGTTTGTACAATATTTTCTTTACATGTTAACCATTTCCAAGATTTTTTTAAAATATTTTAAAATAAAATAAGCATTTTTTTCAGATGTGAATAACTTGTAATTTTTTTTTTCAAAGGTGTTATGGTGCTGTGGGTAGGTGCTGTCTGTAACAACTATGTAATATGACCTTTGAAACATATAGAACTTCAGCCTCTTCCGTAACCATGATTGATGTAAAACATTCGAAACGTCGGAAACTAAAAATCTAAATGAATCCGCGAAAATATCTCAACCTGTTACTTTTATTTAAAATGCCAAATAATCGCGTAAATGTAAAAAAGTATCGAAATATTATGTAACTCTATGAATGAAAATAACTTTCCCATAAACATAATCCCACCTGTGACACATCCTTGGCGATGGCCATGATCTTGGCGGAGTCTACCTCCTCGCCAGCCAGCTGCGCCTTCACCGTCTCCACCAGCGTCAACGACGCCTCCAGCACTTGCTGCCCGGACGATATCACTCTGTATAGATATGAGTGCTTATCATTATCTGTAATGCTGCGACCGCACACATCGCTATAACGCGAATCTTCGTGTTATCGCGATATATGTAGGCATATATTCGCGAATGCGCAAAGTCGCAAGCATATCGCTCAGCTGTCGGTAAACTCTCGCACAACAAAGGGTTTTATCGTAAAGAACTTCGCTTGCGCTTGCGGCGTCCCACAGACATCGTGCGCAGCGCACGTGTTGGATTACATTATTTGTGACGTATTTTCGTCATGGATTGAAGTAACGATCATATCTTAGAATTTATTTACAGTTACGTTTTAACGTTTAGTATAGATTTCGCAGAGATCATATTTTCCCGCAGTAAAAAGTATACGTTGACCCGGATAACCAGCCAAATTTCACCAAAATCTAATATAATCATACCAAATATCATCAAAATCTGTCCAGTGGTTTTCTCGTGATGCGGTCGCAAACAAACAGATAGACAAAAATTCTAAAAACTATAGATTAGGCCTCTATATCAATAATAATGACTATTTCGATAAGATTTTCCAAAAAAAAAGCATTCAATGTACATACATATTCGACTCAGCGTCGTGGTTGAAAATCAAACATAATTCATTAAGTTTGATCAATGTTGAGGTTCCTTTTTCAAAGTTATATAGATAGCCTATAAAATCCAAAAGAATTTTGAAATGGGCCCAGCTTTAGAAATTTGAACGTACAGACAAACAAACTTTCACCTTTATATTATGTAAGTACTCGTATGATATTGACGAAGGTTATCTAACATCTATCTACATCTTATAACATCATGCTACATCTTTTAGCAGTAAAATAATTATATATAAATAAAATGCGCAAGCGGATTCGCGGTTAAAACAAAGTCAATTAATTTTGGCTTTAAATAAACTTTAATTATGCCAAAGCTCATTTTCCTCCATTAATGCAATATGCCTGAAAAGGGGTTGAAAGTTTTCTCTTTTGTAGTAATATATAGATACATGTTTAAATTCCGATATATACTATATTGTGGAACCCGAAAGAAGTCGGCCACAAGAGAAAGGATCTCATATAATATGATGGTCGGTTTCGCTGCCATAAAATAAAGAGCGATCGCAGCGTCCATATAATTAGTTTTTGCTCTTGTTTATCGCGATAAGCTTTATAACGATGCAATGCGGCCATGCAAATTCGCTGTAGGCCAAAGGCGAATTTTTATCGCCGGAATAAATTCGCAATGTGCTGCACTTAACTAATGTCATTCTCAGAGGTGTTTGAATGTATTTTAATATGTAATTATATTATTATAAAAACTGACACGCTTTGAAACTATTAACATGAGAATTTAATAGAATTGAATATGAAATTTTAATTATAACATCAAGATTTTTTTATTAATTCGAATTAGTATACAACACATTTTTAATTGAATCTAATTTTCAAATATTACTGCATTTGTAAGTGAAATTTACTTAATTAAAAGACGATGAATTTTGAAAAATTAAACACATTTTAAAACATACATATAATAATAAAATAGTTCCAAGTCAATAAAAATATTTCGCATTAGCGCTGTCATCAATTTATTTGTAAGGTAGCTCTGCACTATTACAGCATCAGTCATATACGCGTATTTTATCTATTATTTATACGATATGTGCGTATGTGCACGCACGCATGTATTACGGTGTGTATGTGTGTACGTACCTGCGCTGCGAGTGTTGCGGCGCGGCTGCTGCGGCGGCGCGCAGCGGAGGCGCGAGCGCGCGCAGAGCGGCGGCGAGCGCGGCAGCGGCTCGTGCGCACCCGGTGGGCTCGCGGCATCGCGCGCTGCCAGCCAGCTGAGCCGCCGCCGACGCCGCGCCACGACCCGCGCCCTGCAGCCGGGACGCCGCCCACTCCGCCTGACAAACGGCATATCATACATTATATTTAAGTTAAAAACTCTTAACTTTATTCAAACAACAGACCCAACAGAATATAATTAAAAAAAACATCATAGTATCGCATCAATATCTATACATATACTAAAAGTGTAACCGATCGCTGATCGTACATGAAAGATATTTGAAGAAAACTATTATTGGAGGTTTTTATTAACGCAATAGAACCCAAAACAATGATTTTTATAATTTTTGGCTGTGTCTGTTTGAAATTAACAATATTAATTTCAAAAAAAGCTTAACTGATTTGAGTGCGGTTTTCACTAATATATTTAGGTAAGCTTCACTTAATTTTTTCTTAAGTTGTCAATTTAAAGAATCACCTAGGGACGAACCCGAGCGATACGAGGGCGAGTCGCTAGTAATATATAAAGATGGCGGACTCACGGTCTGTCCGGGCAGAGGACGCAGGTCCTGGGCGCGCGCGGCATCGTCCAGCTCGCGTAGCTCGGCGCGCAGCGCGCGGAGCACGGCACCCGCCGCCTCCAGCTCCAGCCCTTTGCACGACACGCGCGCGCGCGACACCGCCGACCTACACACGGATGTACTCATTATATACATATATATATATACTCAGAAGTGGCTTACCCTCGCTTGTAAGCCGGGTAATGTGTTCATTATAAAAGTCCTTTATTTTCTATATATAAAATATACCAGAATATATAACTCGTTTTTATATCTCTAGCAGCAAAAATATAGAATTTTCATATTTTCATTTCATCCTCTTTTTCCTATATATCCTAAGTTTTATTTTCGCAACAAAAAGTAACCTACATCCTTTGCCAAGGCCCCGTCTATCTCTATATCAAAATCCATTAAAATTGGTTCAACGCTTTAGGTGTGTAAATATAACAGACAGACAGAGTTACTTTCACATTTATACTCAAATATAATCTCAAGTGTGTCAAATGTGAGGATGTTATGGTGTGCGTGTGGGAATATTTGGATATATGTATATGGTTTAGGTGTGTGTACTGTGTGGGTGTGTGTGTTGGGGTCTCACCTAAGGTCAGCCGCGCTGGCGGTGAACTGGTGCGTGGTGTCTGCGAGCTGCTTGGCGGCGGCCCCGTCGGTCACGGTGGGCAGCACGCCACGCGCCGCGCTGATTACGTGCCCACTCGGCTAACGTGATAAATTTATATCATATATAGCAACATCATACTAATAAATAATAATAATTGAATTAGAAACAATAGTTTTACAAATAAATCATCAATTGGTCCTTATATAAATCTAGCTTAGTTTAAAGATTGTATAAGTGTGACGTGACACACGCCCGTAAGATTCTATAGTATTACAATGACATAGCAATAAACATCGACACACACCTGCAGGAACGTCTCCGCCGCATTGATGAGGTCGAGGTGTGCGGCGGGGTCGGCGGGCGCGGCAGCGGCGGCGCGCGAGGCAGACGACACGCGTGGGATGTGCTCACTGAGCACCTCGCACTCTGAGATTAGGGTCTCCTGTGTACAGAAGGTAGAAAAGGTTAGGTTAATATTTAAAGCTGATTTTTTTCAAAGTCCTCGTTTCTACTCTGCATAGTCAACTCAATTTGAAAAAATATTCGTAAACAAAAAAAACTTGGAGAGTGGAGGGCAAACTTTAGGGTTAAATGGACAGAGTAATGTTAGATGAAGAATTAAAAACAAAATATTCAGTGAATTACTTTGAGAAATTCTTCTGAGCTGAGCAATGTCAATTTTTTCAAACTGCTGGCATTTTTTCGGAATAATAATTGTTCTCAAAACAATTTTTTTAGACCGAAATATAAATATTAAATATAACCAGAAACGAACCTGCGAGTACTTATTAGTGTTGTACTGCGTGGCGTTATGCGCTGAAGTCACCAGTTGTGTGGCGCTCGACACCGCTTGACGCGCGCTCTCCTGCGGGCAGAATATAGTTTTAACAATAGAAAGTTTTTTTACATATACAATATACATACATTCAATTCTCTTGTTAATAGCTTCGAAGCGTGACATATCTAATCTATCTACTATTTATAATATTGTATGTCGATAAATTGTAAAACTTAATAAATATAGTAAGATGATATATTATCAAACAGCATTTAATTATTTGCAACTTGCATCAGTATATCGTTGTTTTATTATAAATGCCTCCTGCACAATAAAAAATAAGATATAACAAAAAAAAATTACAGATAACAAACAACATACTGTTAATTCAATTAAAATTAACAAATAGTTATAAGCATTCATTCATCTCGTTCATTCATTCATTACACCACAGTAAATATCGGTAAGTACCGTGAGCCTCGCGAGCTGCGTGCCGACGATGTCCTGCCCCTGCGCGTAGTCCGCCGTGATGAAGCGCAGCTCCTCCGCGCAGCGCCGCAGCGACTCCTGCTTCTCGCGGTCCTGCACACACACAGACAGACACACACACATTATATAATTGCTAAAACAGTGTAAGTTACTAATCCATTTCGATGGACGGTGTACCATGTGCGTTGGTCCTGGTAGTCTCTGATAGCAGAGTGACGCCCCATTAAGACAGGGGAAGTTCCGTTGGGTTTTAGTGTATAGTACTGGCTTTTCTAGCCGGTGAGTCCTACATAATCACATGTATGTATGTAGGTGGTTTGCGTAAATACATTTCCCAACTTTAAATAAAGGTCGTCAAGCTGTTTTTGTTTAGCGTTTCAGTGTGAATGAGTAACAAACATATTCACACAAAAACACTCCCATTTATTGATTAGTAGTCCCATAAATCAGACCATTATAACGTTCCGTATGAACAATGTTAATTGCTGGGCACGGGTCTAGTTAACACTACACGGGCCAGTGTGAGCTGACGGACTCTACATGTTTTCCGAAACTTTATTAGGTTCGGACATAAATTTCCTTACGATGTCATTCTTATCAATAAGGCAAAAACATACAAACAAACTATACAAGATAGACGCGTATTTAGAAAATTTCGCTTGCATGTCATCGCATCAAAACTTTGTGAATTTTAGCGGGGTGATAAGAAACCAACATGTAGCGAAATAATATCCATCCTGAAAATCCATTCTAAAGTTTGATGTTTTTTTTAATCCGAACACAAGTTCCTGAGATTATCCCGGACAAACACAAAGTCAACGTGGCTGAGGACTATAGTCCACCATAGTCCATTAATGTATATGTTGAAGTCAATTATTTAATGAATCAGTCACAAGTGGGCGTGGGACGTACCTGCGGCTCGGAGGCGCAGAGCCGGGCGGCCTCCACCATGCGCGCGGTGGCGTCAGCCAGCAGCTTGGCGGCCGCCAGCAGCTTGCGCTGGGACTCCGACGGCTGCTTTTCTGCCTCTGTCTGTGACACATTACTCATTATTTTCCTTCTCTTTTGAATAATTCAACTATGTCACAATAATTCATAGTTATTACCTTTCTCCTTATATCTCAATCGTAGTCATTGTATACGAATTACATTTTTATATATCAATATTGACACTAGACGGGCTTCAATGAAACTATAGTATTGTAACATAATTCTTTTTGATTTTTCTTTTACATATGATATCTATTGAGGATTCAGGATTTGTATATTAGGCTGTCATCGTTCATTCGTATATGTCCATATTCGGCATAAACCCCTTTCCAATAAAAACCGTTACAGTACATACAAAACACAAAACTGCCTGTAATGCCCAGGATTTCCTCTATCCCCTCCCTAACGTCCATCGAGGTCAGATTTTGTCCACTGGTGTGTGTATGGTGTATCTCACCTTGATGTCAGCGATGAGGCGCGCCGTGGCCTGGCCCAGCAGGCGCGCGCGGCGGACCATCTCGGGTGCGTCGGGCGCATCGGTCACGCGCTCGCTCGCGCTCAGTACGCTCTCCACCGACTGCTCCATCACTGTGGGCTGCACGCGCCGCTCTGTGAAGGGAAGCTTGTTATAATTTTCATATGAACAATGTTATACATACTACTATCTAAACACAGTAAAAACAAAATCTGTCTATTTCTCCCCTTACTTCTTCTATTCTAAAAAGAGCGATAAACGAGGAAGGTTTATGTATACAATTTATGAAAATTTTGTACGAAATGACTGAGTCGAGATGGTGTTTTGTTAAAAACTATTTTCGTAGCATTACATGGCTAACGTTGGCTAAGCCTTTAGAGATACATCAAAACAATATCCTAGAAAATTGTAGGTCATAAAAAGGCAGAAAAGTCCGCGATGTGTCTCTCTCCTAAGGTGCACTTACAATAAATATTTTTATCTATACAAAATGTATCAAGGGACGCACTAGAATGAAGCGAGGCCAAGTCGCTAGTTTAAATGATAAAGTTTGTATGTTTTGTGTTTTGTATTATAATATGTGTAGTTGTTACTCCTTCAAGATGAAATGTTTAGATGCATTTGAAAAATTTTTATTCTGACATGAGAATCGTACCTAATAAGTGCCGAGACATACTCGTATACTCGTTTCACTGACAAAACTGATATCATGAAAGACAAGAACGAAAAATGGCCAACACTTCCAAAAAAAAAACATCAAAGTGAACTGAACAATTTTCAAAGTAATATTACTAGAATTTTTTACTATTATGATCACGCAGCCAATACCAATCATAAACCGTCACAAATAAAAAAAAAGCTTAACACAATAAATGACACTTCATCACCAACTTACCCAAATCACAATGGGCCAGCAGCCTCTCCAGCTCGTCGGACACCCGCTGCGCGGCCACCGTAAGCTGGTCCACGCCGGGCTGATGCTGGCAGGCGGCCACGAGCCGGTCCACCGCCGCCGCCACCTGTCGCGCCGCGCTTGTCAGCTGCTCGCGGCACGCCGGGTTGTGGAGCGTCGGCGCTACCACCTGATTAAATAATTTTCATGATACTCTCTCAGAATTACGGGGGTATTTGCAATTTAATTTTTTGGGTTATCTCGTAGTTTTATTTGTTTTGATATTTAAAATAAAATCGTGATATAATTTATCAAAGAATTGTTACTTTTTAACTGTATCTTCAAATAAAAAAAATACGTTCTTCTTAATTAAAATAAGTTATATAGATGTTTAAACTAAATCTCTCCATATCCTACAGCTTTCATCATTTCATCACTTTTAGATTGTAAGATTGTACATCTTACCCTAAGATATTTTATGCATAATAAAACCTATTATTATAATTTTACCAATAGTACGTTCTAAGCTGCTAAAGAACCTAGCACCAAACAATCCAATAAATCTATTTCTAGCACCAACTTTCTACCTTTATCAAAACATCATGGATTTACATGTCACATACATACATCCCTTTAACTGAACTCTGGACTTATTGCCAATAGTCTTAGCTATTATACCACATAATATGAAAACTCAGCTATCAATTGTTTCTATATAATTGTTTACCTTAGCACAGGCCACCAACTGGCTGGTAGCCAGCGCGCAGTGCGTGGCCGCGGCTATGATGGTGTTCTGCAGCGGCTGCTCATCCTTGCACTGCGCTGCCACGTTCTTGGCCTTCAGCACTAGAGCGGCTGTAGTATTGGCCACCGCCTTAGCCAAGGACAGGAGGATGTCCTGTGAGAATAGCGCCGTCATTGTGGGGTTTCATCAGAAATTATACAGTTTGTTTTTCAACAAAAACTAAACCGATTTTGGTGAAAATTGATCTTTGATAAACTAGCCTTTTACATTTTATCGATGTACCTAACAGGCAAGCGGAGCCAATGGCAGTAAGTAGTAATATATCATATAATAACACAGTTACAAGTTTGATTATTTTGTCTAGACACTACGAGTTTTGTGTCCTACATATTCTATAGTAACGGTATGTATATCATGACAGCAATCTATCCCACAATATCTTATGCCGAGTACTTTTTTAGCCAGAAATGGCATATTTTGTTTTATGACTATATTTCATATTTATATTAAAATATATCTAACCCAGTCACATTTAACCCTAAGCTGCATTTATTTTAGGGGTTCTGAAATTAATTCCCTGTATAGTACATTTAGTAACAATAAAGTACAGATAAAAGTTCATGAGACTAGACTTTTATAATAAATACATTAGATATGTTATTTCTCAAGCAAATTGATCATTATAATTTACGTATTCATCTATATAGAATTAGAAGATAGAATTATTTTTGTTTAAATTTATTTTATTGATTTAATAAATATGATGAAATTTTTAGATTCCATGAAACTAAAAACAAAATGTTATAGCAAAATAAAGTTACTAAAATTTGTTTTTTAAGAATTTTGAGTTAGGTCATTATTCAACTGTAAATTCAACTATAAATGATAAAAACTATTTATACTTCATGATTTCAAATTTAGAATCTTGAATGTAACTGACTGAAACTTTTAATTTATTATTTATATATGAATATAAACAATGTACGATTAATAATATGGGGGGTTTATTAGTATAATTTAGTTCTTTATTTTTGTCACTACATTCACTTTTGCGGACAGTTAGTCGAAAATAAAAACCCATATATTTGTAAAAAGCAAATGTATTAACAAAAATAAATATGGCAAAGTATGGCAAGAGCCGAAACTGGTACTATTTTAGAGTACACTCAGCTGCAAATATTAAAGACCAATTGTAATGTAGTTTTGTCTAATGATTTGAATTCTTACCTCCGAAAAATTTTGACATTTTGCAGATGACTGTACCATGTATTAAACAAAATGTCTGCTTATTTTATAAAATGATTTCTTTATATGCTGAGGGCTGACAGACCAATGCATTATTTTTAGCAAAATTAAAAAAAATAGCTGCCTTTATTTATATATTAGTACGTTAGCCCCCATTAGTATTTATAATTATAATATAGATCCGACAGTTTCACATGTTATGTGTCGGTTTAATTTAGTTGTGTAATATATTACAAATTATTGTCTTGATTAGTTTCGGCTTGTTATTTTTGGGTTTTGTACATTTTCAAACAAAAGAATGTTTGAGAGAGTGTTAAATTCTTTTTTAATCAATGTTATACAAAGTTAGAAAATTCAGGATATTTTTATGTCAAACTAAACAATAAAACATAAAATAAAAACATTTCCAAACAAAAAACAACGCTATAATAATTGTGATATTCACAAGAAACTCAAAACCAATAAATATATTTACATATATATGTATTGTATTATGCAATGCAAAGTGACGTAACTAGATTGGCAGAAAATAAATAAAATTATAATATATTATTTTTTCAGTTATGTCACTTTTACTCTATAAACTAAATGACACATATAGTGTCACTTGTACAAAATGGAATTCCACAACCAATAAAAAATAGCTGTCTATGATTATTCTAAACTAAATTTTGGCATTAATAAAAAAAATGACCAGAGTAATTTAATAGAATAACAAAAATAAAAAAAAACTAGGAACTATTAAAAGTTTTTTTAATATATTAAATCGAATATAATCTGGTCAGACTTAAGTTAAATGCCAATCGACTTAATTATAGCAAAAAAATTACCGACTAGATTATTAGCTACCTTAAATATGGACGTTCACAACAATTAAACAAAACACAAAAAAAAAACAATACATAAAAAAATTATATCACTAGAAACGTCAGTTGCTAAAATTTTAGTCATATAATTAATTAATTATTCAAAAACCTACATAAAAAAATCATTTTTGCAGTCTTTTTCCTTACGCTTTTGTCTTTCAGAATAATTAACTATTAAGTAATTTGATTATAATGATAGGCCAAATTGATTTTTTATCGAAACATATAAAAGGAAAATGACAGCAAAGTGAATAAAAAAACGAGTATTTGAGTGAAGTGACTGTCAGAACATTACACCACACGTATGTATGTTTTTAAAATGACAAGAATTAATATATAAAAGTTACTAAACTCTATCGAATTGGACCCGTAGCTTTTATAGTGATATTTTATTATTTTTTGTAGACCCATTTTATAAACAATAGAATGAAAATATTGCTAATAATTTTCAATAGATGTAATGCAAAGAAAGTCTACTTCAAAATATACATTTGTATGTATAACTAATAATCAAATAATATACGTATAACTTATAATCAAACCCGCTCCCATTTATTAAAATAAGACCTACACCTTATGTACTAGCTACAACTGCCTTAAAATATATAAAAAAGATAAAAAATAAAACAAAATAGAGATTCATTTAGTAACTTTTAGTGTTGTATATGGTTGTTAATATGGTTTGGCACATTTAGTATGTTAGAAAATTAATTTTAGTTGACTTTTTTTAATTTTAATAGAATAATTTATAGACCCTATTCGTTTACGCGTTATTAAATATTACATCTGCGACCTATTGATGATACTTTTTTTCATTTATGAATAAGTTATGTGATATTTACTATTGTAAAATGTAATGATTTTAATCAAGAAAACAAATCTAAATATTGTACTGTGCCTAAGTACATTTTCAATTAAAATAACAAAAAACACGTATGTAATATTTTTCTTAAAAAGTCCATATGATTGTATTATATTTAATCTTAAAAGTTATCTATAGATATACTAACTTCATACTCCAAAATTGCTAAAGAATGTTGAGTGTAAAATAAAATACTTTCAAAACCTCACGAGACAATTTCAAAGCATGTGCCATTAACATCGTCGTCATGGCAACCGACATTATTCAACAACCATTGGATAAAAATGGCCATCAAAACGAAGATTAACGCTAAAATCAACAAAATATTCAACCATTCCTCCCTCCAAATATCTTTTAATTCTAGCTCGAGACAAACGCAGTTCGGGCAACATTTTACAGAAGACCGTGCACAGTGTTTCTTACAAAATTGACAAAATCCTTTGACATTTTCTTGCGTGGCCAGAAATGTTGGATTATATACTATTCTAATTTCCGTTTTGCCTTTCGGAGGCGTCGTGGTATTATTTAATTGTACGTTTGTCTGTCTGTCCCTATACTCGCTCGTATAGTATTTCTCGCTGCGTTTTACGAAACTTTCGAAATCATCTCTTTTAATGTTTAAATCGTTTTTAGTAAAACTAGCTTCAGCCTTCTCCATGAAAGTTTCCTTTGTCGTCAAAACGCGATTATATTTTTCTATATTGAATATTTTCATGTTCAGAGCCCCGGCTACTTTCACATCTGGACCAGTTTTTGTAACGTCATTCCTAATACTGTGGCATTCAATTTTTTTATCGTTAAACTCGTTGAATTTATCGTTAATCACGTTTTTGTCGGTGTAACGAATGAATTTGTCGTTAACGTTATTTTTATCGTTATTGTTGGTTAGAAAGAATTGTTGACGTAAGATTTCGTTTTTAGTTCGTCTATCTAAATTAATATTGACATAATCATGTTTCGGATTATCAAAATTAACATTTACATAATCATGGTTAGAGAAATCCTTTTTGAAATTGTAAATTTTATCCGAAATTGTTTTCGGATATATTTTAGGACTATCTTTATCCGTACTGTCTACACTATCTGTATCTCTATCTTTCTCTAGATATCCTTGACAATTGAGTAAAATGGTTTCATAATCACCATTTTTGTTGTCATTTGCACCTAAATTATACATATCGCGATCTGAGGACGGCCTACCCTTGAAATAAGTGTTACAATACTCTAATCCTCTATAGTACTCGCTATCCGTCTCCTCCTGTATGACGTCTAACCCTTTGCCCCAGGGACTCGCCGGGTCTATGTCCTCGTAGATGCCTTCGTCCTCGTATTTCTTATCGCCAAAGTCCGAGCCGTACTCGTGTTTGTTACCGAAGAAAACCTTATAGAAATTGTCATAGCAATAGTTAAGTTTACGGTAGATGAAGGATTTTTTGTGAGTGGGTGTGGGGCTCGTTACCTGTGTCTCCTTATCCTCCTCGCTCTCCTCGCCGATGGTGTGCAGCACGCTGGTGGACGCCTCGCCCACTCGCGACGCTGCGTTCAAGAGGTTCTGGCGTGGCTGGTGGTCATATATTCAAACATTTACAAAAATTACATAAAATGTCTCATCGCTAAAATAAATAGTCCATCAAGTTGAAAACTATCTTTGCGTTAAGTGTCGTGTTAAGTTCATAATCATAATTGTTAGATAAACTAGGTGACATACATATAAATATTGTAAGTAAAAAATATATATATCAACAAACAAAAATTTGGAGTTATTCCACTTTTCATCTAACAATTATCGATCTCAAACAAACACTCATTTTAGAGATGTGCCACTTTACCTCTTTAGTGTGAGGTTCTGCAGCTTTGAGAAGGTCAGTGAAGGCGCAGCACAGCGCGCGCGTGGCGTCCAGTAGACGGTCACCACCGGGGGTGTCTTCCATCAGGGCTGCTATCATTTGCACACCTGCGAAGGAAAATTTGGTTTATTATTTAGAAAAAACATCTTATTAGCACACTTTTATTATAAACACAAATGTTTATCAGTGTATTTCGTAATGAAAGCTTATATCTTGAATTAACATTTAGACAAAAAAAATGTAAGCACCCACTGCTGAAATGGGTGAAAAGTTTTTAACTGAAAGCGTTTTGTCTCTTGTTAAGTATAGTCTTTTTTAACATTTAAGAATTAAATTTATGTTTTGAATAAAAAAAAACGAAGCCTTTATTATAACCAAAACATTAAGAAATATAAATACATAATTAATTAATTTATTGATATTTTCATCGATAAGGACTTATTAATCTATATATCTTACCCTTAGTCATTTCCGGCAAGTTAGTTGTGATGGTGGTGATGGCGGCGCCCACCGCGGTGTGGTCCACCTCCTCTGTCGGACCTAAATATATAACAAGAACCTTATTTTATATTACAAATAATTGAAATAATTTAAGTTTACAAAGCTAAAAAATTATAATATTCAAATATGTGCAACAAACACAAATAAATTATTATTTTCTAATTCAACCTCTATTTGGCACACGTCTCCTTTCAATAGGAGTTACATCAAGCCATAGTCAAGAACGCTAAATAAATACCGATTGATGGAATACTCTCAGCATTGGCGACACGTTTGGCTCAGTTTGTTGTAACCTTACTCACTGTGTCAGCGGTCGCGGGTTCAAGTCCCGCAGGGGGCATTCATTTATGTCATGAGTACTAATGTTTGTACTCCAGTCATGGGTGTTTATTTTTATTTATGTGTATTAGCTACTTACCCTCGCTCGGGCTCGTCCCTAGCTTGTTCCCAATACAAACTTTCATCCCCATTTTTACTACCTTAAGGGATGATTTCCGGGATAAAAAGTATTCTATGCCCTTCCCAGGGTCGTAAACTATCTTCTTACCTTAATTTATCTAAACCGGTTCTGTAGATCCAGAGATTACCCCCTAAAACGTCAAAAACTCACAATCTCACAAATTTTACATTTTTATAATATTAGTATAGATGTATTTAAAGTTTATACATGTGTATCAACTATCATATATGGATCTAGATGGTGCTGCGTGCCCATGTCCCAAAACATATTTATATTTATTATCACGTCTTCTCGTCTTTTCCAGCTAGCTACTGTCTAGATCTAGACAAAGAACTAACCGGCAGTGAGCGTGACGACCTGCGCGGTAGCGGCGTTCATGGCGGCGATCTGCGAGGTGACCACCTGCTTGCTGCTGTCCATGGTCACGCGGCGCCATTGCTGCGCGCCCGCGTCCGAACCCAGCGCCGGCAGCCGGGCCTGACACGATAGAACACCCGTTGACATAGAGCACGACAGACTAACAGTACTTACTCTAAACATGTGTCATATAACTAGACCAAATGACACATCGTTTAATTATTATCAGTATTTGAAACAACGCAATTCTGCACAAACGTCGTTGTTTCTTTTTGTTTTATATTATTATTATTATGTAACGAATTCGTCTATCTCTAGTGTCATTAGTACTGTATATCATAAATAAATGTTTACGTTCATACGTTCGCATATTAAAATAATACAAACTATAAGGTAATTTAAGGGTTTTATAGTAATTACTTTATGAGTATCGAACACGCGCCTATCGCACTACTTCATACTTCATTCTGAATTATTACAATTCAAATTCAAAATTCTATATTCAATATGGATATATTTAAAATATTCACTTACTCTAGTCAACCCTTCTTCAGTTTGCTTGATGATCTCCCTACCGCTAGTGATTGTAGAGAGCAACGCTCGCTGCGGCTCCGTCATAATGGTCGTGACCTTCGTTTGTTGGATTTGAGTCGTCTGCAATTATTAATCAATAATTGCAGTTTCATTTATATAGAAAAAGGAAAATATTTCATTTTAAATACCAGTTTAAGACCCTTTTTACATAAAATTTGTTGTGAAAAAGGCTGTCAGTGCAATAATAGCTCAACGTTACATAAATAATTATAAAAAAAACAATTACGAAAATTATACTAATTAATTAGTACATGAAAATATATCAAAGTTTTTTTTTAGTTAGGCCACTATTGCATTAAGACATGTGAATAGATACATAATATACATAAATTAGTACACATAGGTACCTACACAGCCAACATCGTACACTGCATCCATATTAGAGAGCGTGTAACAATAAATTTTTCATTATTACATTTAAAACCACCACACAAAAGTATTATTTAGTTATTAGTGATTTAATTTAATGATGCAAATTTTGTGAAATAAAAGTACACTTTAACTATTATATTGTAACAATATTTTAATAACACATGCATAGATTATTATCAATAAAAAATAAAAGAAATTAAGTACAAAAAAGCAAAAAAAGGAAATTGTAAATATGTAATAAAGAAATAAAAACATTACATTTATAAAAATATACAAAAAAAAATAATTATAAACTTTAAAATATTAGTAGTCCACGTCACTAATAAAGTGTGATAAATTTACATATTATTTACAAATATAGGAATACCACTTTAATATTAATAATATATACATACTTATATATAAACAAAGCCCACAGACAAAAAATACCAAGCAATAAAAAAATACAAGAAATAATAAAATTCGAGACATTTATATTTATAAATATATGGCGATAAATATTATAAGAAAAATAGACTACAGACAAAAATCCAAGCAATAAAATAAAGAACAAATAAGGTATGAGTCGTCTAGTTCTATATTTATTTATAAATATATAGTGGCTTATGCAACAAAAAAATAAAAAAATAAATAAAGTGTGAATCGATTACATCTATATACAAAATATATGGCGATAATTATTTAAAAAATACCACAGATATAAAACCATGCAAAAATTAAAAAACCCAAAAAGTGTGCAATCAATACTAACAGAGGGAGGCGCGTGTCCCGTAATGACCTGCCCCGAGAGTGTGCTCTGCTGCGCGCCCGTCACGTGCCCCACCGCGAATGGTTTCGCACCTAGAGTTGCATTAAAAACGGTCTAGCCTCACTTTATGTATCCACTGTGCTCTACCATACTAGCTACGAGATTTCCTATCATTGCTATAAATATGTAAGTAAAACTAATTATTGAATTTTTTGCGATTTATTTTGATTGTTGTGACCTGACGACGGTCACAAGGTTTAGTCTCGCACAAGTCTACATTCAAAATGTCAGGTAGAAAATATCTAAATAAAACCGCAAATAAATCCAAAAATTAATTTATAATGCCAAATCTTCCAAAACGCACTCAAATCAAATTAATCAAAATATAACCTAGCAATTACAACCATTTAATTCAATACATTTTTTTACACTAAAAAATATATTATGAATAGAGCACAGAGAATAAACAACAGATATAAAAATAAGCCTGCAAAATAAAATTGTAACTCGCATATATTTTTTTACAATGCACTTACATATACTGAAATGAATAGCATATTCATACAAACAAAAAATTGTACCTAATAAAAACAAAAATTGCAAACAAAAATATAGATCATCCGTAGTATATACAGATTTTAATATACAAATTTATTTTATTCAACCAATAAAGAAAAAAAAGAAAAGTATCTTATAATAGGAATTTACAAAACCATAATATATATAATTATGTAAATAAGTGCTATTTATATTGCTGCAGCCGCACATATCGCTATAACGCGAATCTTCGTGTTATCGCGATATATGTAGGCATATATTCGCGAATGCGCAAAGTCGCAAGCATATCGCTCAGCTGTCGGTAAACTCTCGCACAACAAAGGGTTTTATCGTAAAGAACTTCGCTTGCGCTTGCGGCGTCCCACAGACATCGTGCGCAGCGCACGTGTTGGATTACATTAGGGTTTGTGACATATTGTCAATATGGATAGAAGTAATGAGATGATTTTAGAATTTATTAATAATTACGAGTCTGAGCCGAGAGTTGTGTAATACGAAAGAAGTCGGCCACAAGAGAAAGGATTTCATATAATATGATAGTTGGGTTCGCTGCCATAAAATAAAGGGCGACCACGTCGCCCATTTTGTTTTTTGCGTTTGTTTATCGCGATAAACTTTACAACTATGCAATGCGGCCATGCACATTCGCGATGAGAGCGGTCATACTATATACATATTTATGTACATATATATGTGTGAACATACCTTCAGCCCCGGGACGCAGCACTGCGGGCTTCGCCACAGACTCCGTATTGACTTTTCCCGACTTGAAAGTATCGTGTTGGATTATATTCGCCCTAGAAATTGATATCATAAGTCTTACGATACACACAATATTGTACAAATACTAGAAAATCAACAATTGACAATTTTTATTAATTAATTTATTTTATCTTTTTATATATTTTTTTTAATTTAACTAATTTTGACAAAAATATTTATTATTGTACATATACTATTATTGTAAATGTGGAAATTTATATCTGTGCGTTTTTGATAATCTTTTACATCTACACTATTTATATGACTATAGCATCATTATAAGTTGGCCAGGACTCACTTGGAGGGCGAGACCGAGTCCTCCAGCATGGCGGAGCCCTCGTCGCCATCCAGCCCGCGGTGCTGCGCCGCCTGCCTCTTCCTCACGATGATGTCAATGTATCCGGCGATCACCTGTCACAAACATATTACGTTCATTCATATATAAAATGAAATCATTCACATAATAATAACATGCCTTGTCCCCATAGAATATGCTGTCACAGTATATTAGAAAAAATCTAAAATGTGTATTATTAAAATTATTCTTTTCGTCGAAGCGGTATTCAGGAAGACTTTCCATTCATTAATTATATAATAGCAAGATATAGCATGATATCTGCGAATAATATCTCCACTCTGATATACTTATACATGTACATGTAGGATACCGTGTTGGTTGTTTAGTGGGTAGCATGTAATACAACGGAGCCGAAACTCCTGAGTTCGAGTCCCGGTCAAGTTGCACCGCAGTACAAAAGCGAGCGGACTAGACAGAGTCCACTGACCATATCCGATCATAATACCTGCAGTATGTGCTCGGCCTCGGTGGTCTGCACGCTGTAGTACTGGTCGCTATAGTCGCCGAAGTCCAGCGTGAACGTGTTAGGCGAGGCGCACCAGCGGCGCACTGTGGTCAGCGGCCATGTTTGCAGCACCTCCTTGGTCTTCTCGTCCAGTCGCAACACAGACTCCTTGGTCACGCCCAGCAGACGTGGCACCAGCTTGTTCTTGCCCTTCATCTTCTCCTGTATATTAAATTTTCATTAGAAGAAAAATACCATATTCAAAGGCGACGGTAGCCCAGTGGTAAAGTGTTCGCTTGGAAAACCGAGTGAAGCGGGTTCAAATCGCCGGTCTCATACCTCTAATACTTTCATGGGCGAATCATGTCCAACGTGATTACCACTTGTCTTATAATGAAGGAAAACGTCATGAGAAAATAAATACTTCATGTCCTCGTATGTACAAAACCTCGAAAGACATGTGAAGCCTATCATCAACCCGCACTTGGCCAGCGTGGTGGGCTACGGTCTATTCCCACTCGTGTTAAAGGAAGGCCTGCGCCCAGCAGTGAGACGTTAAAAGGGTTATTAAATTTACAAAACCACAAATGACATAACAATACTAGTAGTTCAAATGCCTTTGCTGTCTAATTTCCTTTATATTGAACTAGGCTACTTTGATTCTAGCTATCTGATGACACTCCATGTAACAACCAAGAACCCACCTTGACCAGGAAGAAGGCCACGCCGTAGGTCTTGAGGTCTCTCGCGCTCTTGGTGTAGAGCACTTTAGCATCCAGTTCGCTGAGGCCGGCGTGGCGACGGTGCTCGCGGAACACCTTCTTCTCTATGCCCTTCACCTTCACGTACGACGCCGGCAGGAATTCCTTCAGGCTGCGAGAGACACAAACATTATGTAATATGTATTGTACATTGGTGACAATGCAGGTACCACTAATTCACGAGATGTCGCTGTGTGACATTGTCAGTATATAAGCAAATGGAAAGAGGCTCTAAGAATTAATTAGTTATAATGTTAAATAAACTTAAAAAGTAAAACCTTCTCTAAAGATCAGAATCGTTTTAGCCGATATAAATTTATATTTATACATACACGAATTGCTCATTTAATATTATAAACAATAAAATGTGTATATTCTAAGGCCACTTTTAAATAAAACTTTATTTTCGAATTTATTCCATTTCATTTTTAATTATTGTATCCAAATTTCCTAAGGTTTTTCATCAAAATTGTCACAAAAGAGACTTCATGCAACCTGCGACCTCGACGCATCATGCATGCACGTCAAAATAAAAGTAAAACCACAAAAAATATAACTAATAATCCTAATTCAAATACAAATTATTCATGTAAATTGAAGAAATTAACTCACATTATTATTTATATATAATAATAATAAAAAAATGATAAAATCAAATTGCGAATAGTCTTTTGTTTAATATATTAATTGAATGCTTAGTGTTGTGTGTTGAGAGTGCTTAAATACCACAATTGTGAGTGGAATTGTAAATTCAGTGAGTAAATCAAATGTACTCACTCTAAGAAGCCGGTGGTGTGTTTATCTTCTTTATGATCACCAAACTGTATCTGACACTGTATACCGGCGAACTCGCACGCTGCAACAAATAATAAATAAATATAATTGACTAATAAGGTCACTAATGGAGTACCATATTGAAATGATTTTTTTTTATCTCATTATAAATGGATAATCTGAGAAATATCTATTTTAAAAAATCATGAGTAGAAGTAGAAAGCGTGTTATACAAACCCTAGAATGTTAATCTCAAAAATATTTATTTATTACCATTGTCATAACATCGAGTATAAATTCTGGCCTTTATTTATAAAACATGAGCTTTTAAAACTGTATCAAAGCTAGTTTATATAGAGATAGAGTTTGAGCCGGAAAGAATGAGACATAGAGAGATGTGCATAACTCTTGCATGGTAACTGATCATGCAATTCATCAAGTATAGCATCCCTGGCCTTGCCTATAATAATAGCACCGTAAGCTTCTATCGACAACTAGTATGTAGAGATAGAATGAGAAATAAAGGGAGAGATATATATGTCGGATTTGCAAGATGAGTATGCATGAAATGATATTTTAAAAATAAAGAAGAGGTATGATATAATTTTAAGAAGGGAATAGAATGAAAGATGAATAAAAGAAAAGTAGCATGTTGTGTCATAATGACGACACGACGGTACGCGTGAACATTGTCATCTGTAATTTTTTATATAATAAATAGTTGATGAGTTATCAAGTGTTTTTATTTGCATTATCTGATCCTACATATGTATGTACCTTTGTCCTGGGTGATAGGATGCGTGCCGGCCAGTATGGCGTCCCGGGCCTGCACGTACAACAGCGTGAGCTGCACGGGGTCGCGAGAGTCTACGTTGCGGTCGGAGAAGAACAGTCGGCGACGCAACAGCAGCGTCTCCGTCGCCTCCACACCCTGCTCGCGGAGCGTCTTCGAGCCCTCCACCCAGTTCACTGACACACAAGATATTGATTATTAGCAACTTGCCCCTGCCACTATAGGCTCTCTAAATACACTTACTAATCTATAGGAATAAATAAAATTGAAGTGTCTGTTTGTAAAGTCAAAATAACAACTTTCTACTATATGCATATGAAAGCAGTATATGCGGTACTTTACAATTTAAAAAAAAATCTCCGTCTGTTTGTTCCGGCTAATGTCCGAAACGGCTAGACTGATATTAACAGGATTCTCATTAGCAGATAGCTGATGTTGTAAGGAATACCTTAGACCACTTTTATTTGAGAAGAATAAAAAAAAGAACCCAAACAGATTATAGACAAAATCCGCGTACATAGAGCCGCATTCGAACGAAGTGATTCTAAGACGCTAAATTATATATAACATTTGTCCACTAATGTAAAGATTTAAGGTAAAATTCCGATACAAGTCAAGTTCGTATTATTTCAGTACAAAACAAGTCATTCCACCAGTCAGTCACCTTCATCATCAGTCCTGAGCTTCTTCCTGAGCTGTTCCATCTTGGCGTCCCTCTCCTTCTCCTGGTGTCTCCTCTTTAACGTGAGGGTGCCATAGTTGGGCTTCTCGCAAGGATCAGCTTCTTCTTTTTGCTCTTCGCGGACCTTTAGAGAGAAAGTCGGAATTTTACGAAAATCGAAACTCAGCATCGGAACTCAGCGAATATCAGCGTAATATTTTTATTGTTTTCTTTTAGTATATTAAGTTAAAATTGTTATTCGTTATCTATTTTATATACCATCTTTATTGTGGCCATTTTTTAATTCTATTGGCTTTATTAATTCTATCCACATATAATATGAAAGCTGTGTTTTCTTCAATAAACAAAATATAATTTATAACTGTGTATGTAACAAAGATCCTTACCAGGCCATACTCGTCATAGTTGGTGATACCGATCTTGGTGCATATCACCACCATCAGGTTGGCGACTATCTGGCTGTCGTCGACTAACAGGGTTTTGACAGTACCTAAGCAAAGAGAAAATTAATTAATTCAATTTTCTTGTTAATGGCTCCAAAGCATGTCAGTTGAGCACAGAATACTTCGCCAATATGACGTAGAATGGAGAAGACACGAAAGGAAATATTATATATATTTTTTTAATTCTCAAATTGATGTCTAACTTGTAGGTTGATTTTGGGCTTTAGATAATTTAATTTATTAATTTTAAATTATGGCTAACACCTGGTTTTTCAGGAATATTAAAAATCTTTAAAATAATCTAACGTCCAAAAATATCCAAAATACATTTTTATTGAAATGAAAAGTAAAATTTTAGAGTGCCTTCATAGAGGAATCATTTCCCAATTCCCATTTCATGTACTATATATAAATAATGTCTAACGTCTAAGATAAGTTGACCAGATCTATGTAATATGCTCACCATCCAGCATCCTGACCCTGAGGTTCCTGGTCTTCTTATTGTACTCGAGCAAGTCTCCGTTCCTGAGCATGTAGTAGTCCAGGCTGCGAGATGCCTCCAGCCAGATACCTTTTTTGTTGTCTTCCTCTGACGCGAGGAAAAGACCGAATTCTTTTGCTGTTGGGAGAATTGACAGAATATAGCAATTGTAACAAGGTTTTGTTTTAATATTTGTCATTTTTTTCAGAGTGTTTCATGTGCTCATGTATGATGGAATTTTGTGGCACTTTCACGTAAATAAAAATGGCCTGTGCCCAGCAGTGATTATTATTATTAATCATGAATTTATATTGCTTTCTTAGTTTTACGTGATTAATGATCATTCAAAACGTCGAGAACGAAAAATCAAAATAAATCTGAAAAAGTTTTTGTAATAAGTAGTAATTACAAAAACTATTTCAGTTTTAATTACACGTTTTAGTAATTGGGAGTCAATAAAAAAAAGGACGATCACGATAACTATTTTCGTAGAAATACGTGGACAGACATAATTACATACATAACACCTACAAAATTTTGTATATTTGTTTGGAAGCACTAATAGATTATCATATGTGAATATTTTGCAGTTCCAATCATATTACATACATACGTGTAGAATTGATAGCCTCCTCTTGTTTTAAAGTCGGCTAAAAATTCATCAATGTAGATAGAGGAAAAGTTAACTTACGGTCATTGTGGTTGGCTTCTAGAATCTTCTCGCGGATGATGCGGCACGCATCGTACACGGTGGTGGAAGGGTCGAACTGTATGGTCTTCACCACTTTGCCTCCCTCTAGGGATATCTTGAGGGAGAGCGTCGCCATCTTGGATAGGGAATGAGCTCTGGTGAAGACAACACAATATAAATAAATTAACATTATTAATTCATCATATACAATACATATTATAAATTAATACGACTGTTCGTTTGTAAGCGCTAAGCTCAGAAACTACTGAACCGGTTTTAATAATCCTGTCACCATTGTAAAGTTACATTATTCATAGACAACATGTTTCGTTTTAGTAATTAAATCAGTCATTTCATTGCATTTCCAATGAAGCAAATTCTAACACAACTTACTTATGTATAGTAGCAGTGTGCTGGTCTGCAAGATCTAAGGAGTGAGCACTACTTCTTCTCTTCTCGGTGTTTGGTATCTGTCGCTCGTGGCTGAACGAGCGGTGTCGCGGCCGGCTTTGAAAAGAACCCTATAAAAATAATATATAAAAAATACATTGTATCCCCATCTCAGCCGACTTCAAAAAGAAGCTATTCTCAACGCGGCTGTATTTTTCAACCGACTTCAAAAAGGAGGAGGTTCTCAATTCGACTGTATGTTTTTTTTATGTTTCTTATCTCAGAATTCCATCATTTATTAATCGATTTGGACAATTTTTGTTTTGTTTAAAACTTATACTTCCAGTTTGGCCACATTTAAATTAAAATGAAATAATAATACCACCCCTAAGAGTGGAAAATAGCTAATGAAAATTTAACCTACGTCTAATTATCATATTGACTTGAAACTTTTAAAGTATTCCTATTGCCGTTGATAGTAAGTTTTAACGGTTAGTATGGAATAGATAAACTATATATTACATATATGATATATAGGCTTTAGCCTTGCTCAATAACCGGACTATCAATATTACATATACAAAAAGGATTTTTCAAATCGGATTAGTAGCTCCTGACATTAGCGCGTTCAAACAAACAAACAAACTCTGCCTCTTTATAATATTAGTATAGATAGTACCTATAGATAAAAAGTGCTATAATCGGGTCCATCACTGAAGTAAAATATTTAAACATTACGAGAAATGAGCTAACGTCTATTATCATGTTGTAATATATGTATGAAATTGACCTTTGTATTTACTTCGATATTAATGGGATGAACCAACAAATATTCTATGTATATAACAATATACAATAATCCGTCCCACATCATACATAACCTATTTCTCTCATGATGCAAGAACATATTGACCGGTTTATGAAAGGCGGAAGTTCGCAAATAAACTATTTACAATTTATGTAGGCCGTGCTATTATTAAAATTATTTTCATGTTTTTTTGAAATAATATGGAAAATATGGTGTCATAAATTTAAAAAACAAATCATAAGCATCTCACGGGTCTCGCTGTCACCCGCCGCCAGCTGTCGCGCAGGGCGAGCTCGATGCGTTCGCGCAGACGTCACGCGCCCGATGCTTCCGGTGTACGCTGGTTTGATTGCTGGGACAAAAAAGAACAGTTGTTTACTTAACAAATTAAAAATACAAACATTGTATTAGTTATTTAAAACACATAGTAGGTACTACGAATATATAATATATATAAAGTCCGAGTCTCGCTAGACGCCTTCGTGAGATCCATATTATGGTAGTATTATTAATATCATGTCATAGCTAGTCAAGCCCATTTATTTGATACCCATATAAGGGAGTTGTTAAAAAAATGTAATCCGCTATTTCGTGGCGGCGACCATCTTGGAACGATTTTCATCAAACATAGCTTTCCACACTACCACATTCCCGACTAATTCATCTTTCAAATAAATAAAAACAATATCTAAATCGGTTCATCCGTTCAGGAGCTACGATGCCACAGACAGACAGACAGACAGACAGACACACACAGACACCTATAACACCCCGTCGTTTTTTGTTCGGGGTTAAAAAAATAATTCATCACATTAAATACTTAGGTTATAATTTTGGTACATTAAATATTATGAGACGTATTTTAATATGTTTCATTTATTATTTATTTTTTCAAGTCAAACAAGAAATTATTCTAACAACACAATTAGTTTAGTTATTATCAAAATGGGGATCCGTTAATAAAATTATGATCAATTAGGGTTTCGTGCCAATTAAATCCGTAAAAAAAAATGGGAACCGCTGCTGTAGAAGATGGGATCCTACAAATGATAGGATATCGTCCATACGATGATGAATATGCTTAATCACGTAATCTCAGAAAGTATAAATGCTATAAGTTTGCAATTTGGCAGGTAATGGCGCAGGGAATAGGTACCCGTTATGAAATTAGTTTTGGAAATTCTACACCTATACAGATAAAACAGAGATAGGAAGTTTGTATTAAAATCCAATATTTATAATCAGCGCGAGGCAAGGCCGCGGGCAAATGCTAATAGCTTTTTATAAAGCTTATTGCAACAAGCGACGTGATAGAACAAACTATTTCGCCCAACTTACGGCACGGTTATTTTTAACTAACAAAAACATGTAGTTCGCTGTAAATCCGTGTTAGCTCACGGGATCGCTATAGTTTCCTGTTACCTAACCCAATAGCGTGAAGGCCACAAAAATAAAATTAAAAATTTTAAGACAGATTTAAGACTGACATCAGAGATTCTAATAACAAAAAGTAAAAGACAAAAAAGCAAGACAACTAGCTATACATATATACATACACTCTGTCGATGCTATTTTTACTTCTATCCCTTATATGTAAGTATGTATTTAAAAGTGTGGGAAACGTTTTAATTTATAATTAAATTATTACTTACTAAGCTTCGCCCGCGGAACCGCTTACGTGAAATACTTTTGTTGTTATTTTTGCTTCTACTCAAACTCAATACACAAAACATTTAATAAACAAATACGAGTATTATCATCGTCTTCCGTGTACTGATATTATTTAATGCATGTTTGTATGTGTGTACATTGTACATGTATAGATAAACAGGGTCATCGACCGGCACTCGTTTATTCTATTTCTATACTATTGTAAAGAAATGTGTTTTACACAAACAATGTGGTAATTTCTGCCAAATTATTGTTTCGTCAATACTATAATGTCACTAGCCATATTCAGCGGCTTTACCTGCGGGTGTAATTCTTTTTAGATGAAATGAAATTTAACTTCATTTAATTAGACTTACACAAGCGCTTTTGAATTGGCAATATACTTTAAAGAGCGTCAGTGTAGTCAGTCCGTGAGGAAATTACTACCGGCTCGGGAGACTTGCTGAGAAGAGCCGGAAGAGAAACGAGACAGTTGGTCTACTTTTACTTTGTTTGCTTCAAAACGTTCGAAACGTCCGGTCCGTTCGAACCGCGACAATTAGTCCCTAAAGGTAAAATAATTATGTATAACATCGGTAATATTATACTTAATTATTTTATCTTTAGGGATTAGTTTAGGTTAAAAAATAATTTCAATCAATTCACAATTGGCGATTATATCGCATAACACACAAAGGTACATATAAAAAATCATACACCCGTATAAGTACCCCCTACTTTTTAGAGTCAATCTAAAAATCCCGCAATAAAATTCTCGATTCATTCGGCTTTCAACATGTCAAAATTGGTCACCCTGCATCTTATTTTCATTTACGCCACAGTATTTAATTAATCTGTCAATATTCCTGACTAGAGGATCAAATCTCATGTTACACTTTCAAAATCTATATTAAAAGCAATAAAATGAAGCTAAATTCGAAGCAGCCGTCCATCTGGACGCACCATTAAGAGGTAATAGCGCTGTTGCATTGAGAGGGAACGAGATAAATTTAACACCCTTATGCAATGAGTGGGATAATTTCGTCGTAATACTTGTTGAGTTAACATTAATAGTTATTATAATATTAAACTCTTTACCAACAATCTATACTAATAAGATATAAGAGGTAAAGTTTGTGAGTTTGTGACGTTGTAGGGGAGAATCTCTGGATCTACTGGACGGATTTAGATGAAATTTGGTAAAAAGATAGTTTGAGACCCTGGAAAGGACATTATAGGATACTTTTTATCCCGGAAATCATCACTTAAGGGGATGAAAGTTTGTATGGGGAATCAAGCTAGGGACGAACACGAGCGTAGCGAGAGTGAGTCGCTAGTTGACTTATAATTTTATTAAAATAATTCAAATAGCAAGTACTATTTTTAATGCAAAACAAATCCATAATTTCATCATGCTCTTCTGTGTGTACGTCACAGCCATTTTCTCGGAAACTTCCGAGCTATATTGCTGAAAATTTGTAAGAAGGAATGTCTCTTATTAACCACTAGATAATTATATAGCCAAATAACAAAACATGGTGTGACATTCCATAAATATAACTGGAAGATAAAAAAAATTGCAATCTACATCATCGTCTGAGATCTTTGGACTTATCCAGAGATATATCTTAATTAAGATGGACGTTACTTATTCCTTTTTAAAACTGGAACTCGCTAGTCTCTGGCATTATTATACAGATTTGAAAGTCTTTTAAACATTTAATACTTAACGTTTAATATTTATTGATAAATTAGCGATTAAGCCTCGCTTCGCTCGGGTAGGCCCCTAGGTACGCGGATTACAATCACAGATTTATGGGTTTTATTTTTCTTTACGCAGAACCATAAATCTTTTTCTAAAATAAAAGTAGCCTAAGTTACTTAACAAACAGATTAAAAAAAATCTTATAAGTACAATATATACTTTCATATGGATTTAGTAAAAAGCTGTTATTTTGATATTACAAACAGACACGTCAATTTTATTTAGCTGTATAGATTTCATCACATACCTACCAAGATATTGACAGTAAATGTCTGAACATTTACTGTCAATATCATGCCTAGACACATCAACCGACCATTTCGAACTAACTGCGAAACACTATTAAGACCCCGCACCATAACCAAGTTATTGGTGCAAATTTTGCATAAAAGGGTAGTTTAGGGTATTTTCAGCCCTCCGAAAGAATTTTAATAGATCAAAATGAAGTATTCGACGGTTATGGCCGATGCTTAAAACACTTTTATTAGACACTAGCCGATTCACCCTCGCTTCGCTCGGGTTCGTCCCTAGGTATGTTTTAACGATTAGTATGGAATATAGACTATATAATATGTATTTTATAATATAAACGTAGGTATGATGAGTTGTTGTAGGTTGTATTATAACATGTTTTCTCTTGGAAATGAGATAATCGCCCGCGGTAAGACGTAGCCTATGTCACTCTCCTGCCCTCCAACTATCTCCACACAAAAAATACGCCAATATGTTTCAACGTGAAAGAAGAACAAACGAAGAAACATACTTTCTCATTAATAATTAATATTCGTATGGATGCGAGCATCCGCAGCCCTCGCCGCGCTCCTCACCTTACTGATTCGAGTGAGCTCCGCGTCCCGCATCAATTCGTAGCCTTATTAGCGAGCGAGCGTTTTGTTAATTTATAATTATCTCAAAAACTATGCAGCCAAATCCAATGATGTAAACGGCAAACATTATCTACATAAAATTCGCTTGGTGGGAGCATAATTTATTTTTGTATCGGTCCATAGCCTGTACATAGGGAGTGCATCTAAAGAATACCTAATAGTTGTAACCCCCTACTTTGCCCCCTTTAGGGATGATTTTGCAAAAATGTTGAAACACGTATTTCTTTATTTTTTACCAAAAACCTAAATATGAATTTTCAGATCTCTAACTCGAGGAATTATGGATTGCCCATACAAATTTTTAACCTCTATTTCAACCTCTTCAAGATTATTTTTAGAGATAAAAGATAGCCTATCTATCTCCTTGCCAAATTTCATAACGATCCGTTTAGCCATTTAGTCATAGAAAGGTAACAAACAAACAAACAAACAGAGTTACTTTCGCATTTATAATATTAATAAGTATATTAAGTGTGGATATAGTTACATTTCGTAATTGTTTTTTATAGCTAAAAAAATATTTTAAATGCATCTTCTCTTAGCTCAGGACCTAAGAGAGGAACCCTAAGGGGAGAACCCTATCTACTATCGGGCAGTCTTTCATTAATTTTGGTTCGCTTATTATTTACCTATAATATAGTACCTTTTCTCCCTTTGTTTGTCAACCGATTATCTTTTTACCCCACTGCGGCGAAGCCCAAAGGAGGCTTATGAGTTTGACTAGTATGAATGTATGTAACCGATTTTGATGATTGATACTTTGTTAGATTCATCTTCATAACGCGAGTGTCATAGGGTATATAGATATCCTTAAAATGAAAATGGTGGATCCTAAGCGCCAATTTGTGTTAAGAATCGGTTTCTGGAGTCGGAGACATATTATGTATGATTCATTCTTGCTGCGAAATGTATGAATGTATATAAACGACTGCATCATATTGTATTCATAATCGTTGGCTCACAATTACAAGGTTCTATGTTACAATTTTAGTACTTATTTAGTTATTAATGCTACAAAGGTTTTATGTGTCATTAGCTACAGTTTTACAAAAATAAACCACTAGATAGCGGCACTATAACTGCAAAATATTCAATTTTACATAGTTCTATGTCGTTTTTTTTTTACGATAACAAAATAAAGATGTAAAAATTACTAACGCGTTTTTTTTATAATATATTTTTTACCGGTCATCTATACCTACACATAAATATAATTGAAGTTTATGTTTGTAATGTCAAACGCTTTTTACTAAAGGGGTACGAAATTATATACGGTACTTATAAGAAAAACACAACTTTTAAATTTTTTGTCTGTATGTCAGTTTGTTCCGGCTAATGTCTGAAACGGCTGAACTGATTTTGACGGGACTTTCACTGGCAGATAGATAGTTAATCTTATAAAATTAGTTAGGCTACTTTTATTTTAGAAAAATAATTAGGGTTTCGCTCATTCTATATAATATATCGTGTCTTCATTCGCGACTTTGGCGAAGTAAATTGTGCCCAAATGGCACTCATAGGAGCCACGAAATAAAAGAATTGTAGTGAATATGTTTAAAAAGAAGTACAAAGTTTTCTCTTCACGTACTTAATATATAGACTACCAAATCCATTTCTAAACCAGCGTCGACCGAACTGTGCACAGAATATAAAACATTTCGTAGATGGATGCGCTAAATGAAACATTGCTTTCAGTTCAATACACACAGATTATATGAGGCGAAGACGAATGTTAAAACTGCCGCGTCTATGATTTTTATGATTAAAGTTACTCATGCATTGCATATGACATTTATTTTAATATAACTGATTATTATTTGAGCATTTGTTCATCTATCTATACAGATAAACAAAATTAAAGTATCTGTTTGTAATATCAAAATAACAGCCTTTTACTAAATACATATGAAATTATATGCGGTACTTCATTTTTGTCTGTCTTGTTTGTTCTGGCTAATCTCCAAAACGGATGGACAGATTTTGACAGGACTTTCCCTGGCAAATAGCTAATGTTATAAGGAGTATCTTCGGCTACTTTTACTTAAGAAAAAGTATCAGGTTCTGCGAAAAAAATATTAAAACTCATTAATTTGCGAACAAAATCCGCGTACCTAGGGACCCACTCGAGCGAAGCGAAGGTAATTCGCTATAAAATAAATAAATGATCATCAGCGTCTATGGTGTATTACAACTCGTTAAATAAATAATACAAAAAATATTAAGATACACATATTACAGCTGCTAAGAGAGGGTGAAGCAGGTCGATATCTAAAGACGTGCACACGTATTACGTATAGAGGCCATATTTTAGTTAATTAGATCAAACACGACCTTCCACCAATTACCTCATAGTACATAAATTAGTCGTAGGTCAAATGTTATATTTATAAGCAAACGATACATTGATCTGACCTACGATGATAGAAATATTATTCGTGTATCAACAAAAATAAGTTTAACGTACAACTGCCGATAAAGTTGGTAATCATTATTTTTAGAAACGGTCCATTGTTCTGCAGGTTAATGAATGCTAAAAATAATTACATATTTAATGGGGGCTCTTAAGATTTGAGTATACCTACCATTAAGATTTGATATATTGTATTCAGCCATTTTTAACGTCCCACTGCTGGGCACGGGCCTCCCTTCAGTACGAGAGGGATCAGGCCATCGTCCACCACACTGGCCAAGTGCGGGTTGGCGGAATTCACATGTCTTTTGAAAACTTGCTAGGTTTTCTCAGACATGCAGGTTTCCTCACGGTGTTATCCTTCACCGTTAAGACAAGTGGTAATCATGTTATATAAAAAGAAATTAAAATATTTTGTACGTTTCATTAAAGATAGATTTTTGAATTTTTAAAATCAAGTACTTTCGAATATTAATATTTAATTAGTAGCGACTTATCCTAGCTTCGCTCGGGTGCGTCCCTAGCTACATTTTAATTTTTTTGAACGGAACTCTAACTCTAAACTGTTTTTTTAAAATAAAGGTAGCCTAAGTTACTGCTTATAACATCAACTATCTGCCAGTGAAAGTCCCGTCAGAATCAGTCCAGCCGTTTCGGAGATTAGATTTAACAAACAAGACAGACAAAAATGTTAATAACACTAAAGCTCGTCAAAAACAAAATAGAATCGATCGACAAACAGAGGAGAAAAAGGTACTGAACTGTTTTGTCTTTGCCTATTTATATATGTATAGATAAAGGACATAGTTTGTAAACCAGTTCTTATCTTAATCAATGAACCAATTAGCTGATATCATTGAAGCGACGGTAAGCCTCTAGTTTGAATTATATGTGGCAAACAGTTTTATTAGAATAGCACTAAATAACATAACCAATAATAATCAAATTGAACAAGTCAAATACTAATATATATATTGAACAATAGTATAAATCTCAAGTAATGATT